CTTGGGGTTTTGGAGGTCCTAGTTCCTGCAGTGCTCCCTCCTCCTATGTACATGCTCATTGTTTTCTTCTCCATTGGTAGTTAGCTTCAAAGACCCACAAGAGGGTTCCCCCCTGAAAACCAGCATTGAATGTGATGAAACATCAATTTTTGGGTGAGCCTCAGTGGCTCACTGACACCCTCCCTCGCTTCAGGTCTTTGGGGGGTGTTTGGAACATTACAGAACCGAGGGTGAAGCAGCTGGCTGATCACTGGCTGCCTCCCTTTTCTCCCCAGACAAGTGGGGTAGGTGGAGCGAACAAGCTGGTATTAGTTTTGTGAAATTTTAATAATTTGTTTACTTAGTTTGGGAAGTTCTGCAATTGGTTCCTACGGCTGCAGTCTCATTTGAAGCCAGCAGTGGTTTTTGTTTTGCTGACTTTCTGGGTGCCTTTTCTAGTGGGTGGCTTAAATGAATAACTGAACACACAAATGTCTGCTTTGCACCTTTATGAGGGAGCCTGGTTCTGGCTCTAGTCCCTGCTAGGTCAATAAAACTCCATGACTGATGGAACCTAGTAATATGGCATACTATGAGATACTAGCTGCAGAGAGTGACCAGCGCTTGGCCAGAAATTGGCGTTTCATTATGTTCAATACTGTTTTTGTGTGGCGAGCTCCTCTGGTTCCCTGGAGTTATCGGACTGATGTACACAATATTAGTCTGGGGCATCAGTCAATTGGAGTTCAGCCTACTGGAGTCCATGAGCCAGAACCTGGCCCCCTCAGAGAGGCACAGAGAGCAATGGCCTATGGAAACCCCCCATGTGCTTGGGAGCATTCCATGTCTGTCATCGACCGGGGTTAGGCACCCAGAAAGGTAGGCATAACAAAACAAACCTCACTTGGTAAGAAAATTGCAACTGAAGACTGAATAGAGAGGCAGAACTCCCAACCCAAAGAAACAAGCAAACATCATACACCACCGCTGTGCCGCTTGTCTGCGCAGCCCTCCCCTTCTCGGGAGGGAGAGGGATGACCCGGAACACACACACACCCCGCGCCGGCTACTCTCGCCTCCAGTTCATAGGCTGATGCACTCTGGGGCGGTCGTCGACTCTGGCCTCAATTTCTTGGCAGTATTTGTGCCTTAGTGGTGTATCCTGCTGTTTGTGGTGTAGTGGCTAGGTGAAATTAGAGTACTGGGGCTGCATGCACTTAGGGTTGCCTTCCCTAAGTGCCCTGTAATTACTACCCTTAGGTTCCAGGGTTACCTTCCATAGGGCCTTTAGGACTTCACTTCTGTAGCTGACCCAGGAACCCCCTCAGAAACAGGCGAAGGCGGGACCGCAGCTGCAGCAGACCCTCTGGAGGGAGATATAGGAAAGCGGTCCGAGAGTCCCACACAAGACTTGTCTAAGACCGAACCTGAGAGGGAACCAGAGGGGACTTCCTCCAGTTCACCCGGAACCCAAACCCTTCGAGTTGGAAAAGAACCAAATCCATGGCGAGCAGACACATGGATCAGCTTGGAGCTCACACCAGCCAGTTGTTGAAGAGGCCTAAACCCGGACCCCTAAGAGATGCAGACAGGCCACCACAACCCATAATAAGGCATTGGAAAATGCGAGATGCCAGATTCAAGCCGAATGGAAGGTAATAAAAGCGGTAAGCCTGATGCCCCATAACAAAACCGAGCCAGTCCCTGAACCCCAGATGAATCAGGATAAGCCAGTACACGTCCCGGAGGTCCAGGGATACCATCCAAATGCCCGGCGGCTCCATAAGAAGACAGGCCTGGGACAGAGTAGTCATCAGAAAGGAGGGGCAAAAGACCCAGGGGTTCAGACTGGACAAGTTCAGCATGAACCGCAGGTCCGCACAGTCCTGTTTCGGAACTGGAAACAGGCGAGAAACTCATCTGAGGGACGAGGACATTTTGACCACACCCAAGCGTACCCACTCCAAGATAACCTGACAGAGCACAGGAGAAGAAACCAGCCCCGAACCCCCCCAAGGGAGAAGGGGGCCATCCAATGCCACTGCAGGCTGCAAGAAACGACCCAAAACATCCACGAATCGTGGGGCCAGCCGTGATCAAACAGCGCGAGCTTCCCAATTCCCCCCTCCTTATCACCCCATCAATGGGATGAACCGTGAAAGGGCCGACGCCCCTTACGAAAAGCTGACTTACGAGCAGAACACGATCACCAAGTCGAAAGGTTGTCGTCAGTTCCAAAGGCTGCGCCGCTTCCGAAACTGGCATTACTCACCTATCACGACGGGAAGAACCCCAAGCCCTGGCACGACCCTTCTGGGTAGACCCCCACAGGCCCACCCACCCCCAGAGAACCAACAAGTCTGACATGGGACGACAACTAGAAGCCACCGCTTGCAGAAACTGCACCACTGCAGAATCTGCAAACAAACAAAAAAAAAGGCTTAGAAAACCTAAGAGCCAGGACCCAAGCAGATTCCAAGGATCGAGCAAGCACCGCCTGATGGCACATGAGACGAGAAGCAAAGAACAGATACACCTCCTCCCACAGGATCAGCACAAACAGCTTCAAGAGCACAGCTGATGCCCATACCGCCAAAATCAGTGCACCAGACCCAGGATTTGCCCCGAGTGCCTCCACGTCCTTCTCAAGCCAGTCTCAAGACAGCTCGTAAAGAGGAAAGAACTGCAAGACCAAAGCCAAATGGCCACGGGCGCGCGAGTCCTCAGCAACCAGGGCAGCCGAAAGGGGAAGAACCTGCTTATGAAGCGTACCAGACATCCCGAGGAAGGGCATGGGCGAAAAAACACGCATCGAGGTGTTCAAACTAGCCCCCCAGGTAAACCTCAACAACCATAAGGGCCTCTCGCCACTCAAGCATGCAAGATCGACAGATCGTATGCCACTTCCCCAACGAAAAGACCGGACAGTCTGCTAACCAGGACGACTCCGGAACCTCATAATGCACCAGTAATGTAAGAAAGAACTGAATTCAAAAGAAGCAGGATCCGCTATTGAGACATAATCCGGGTCGTGCAGGAGGTAAGCCGCAATGTCCTCCCATTCTTCATGGGGCGGGATGCGAGGGACTGAAAACCTCCGAAAAGAAGGAACTGAAATACCCAAGGGAACCCAGAACCGAACCCAGGGAGGGGTTGACGCCATATCAAACTCTTAGTGGGAGGAGGGATATGAAAACCCCACCCCCTGCAACAAGAAGCCCCACTCAGAGAGTATTCATTTTTAAAACTCAAGTAGGGTCAAACAGGGCCCTACTTGGCCCAAGCCCCCTTTTCCCCGAGTCAGCCCCTCTCCTGCCCCAGGAACCTCCACACCAGGACCCGGGGCTGAGCCATCCTCCAAACCCTCACCCTCAAAAGAAAAGGCAGAGTCCGCTGGAAAAGTTGGAACAAAAGGGGCCCAGTGGTCAGACCAAACAGAGGAACGGGCTCGAATGCCTCCGTCGCCACGTTGGATGAGGCATCCCCTGAAACTACCCGAGTCTCTCCACCAACTAAACCCTGCCCCGACTCTGAAATCCTCAGACGCTTGAGAGCAGGAAGCAGGGGAAGGGGCGGGGAACTGGACAAACAACAGCAGGAGAAGGACAATGGGGCGCAGACGAAATCAAAGTTGAGACTACTAAGGCCCCCAAGTCTGGGTCCCTATAACTAAAATAGGGCAGCCTCTGGGCATCTGGGTGAGCAACCAACCTAGAGTGCTGCAGCAACCTAAAATGTGCATGCAATGCCGATGCCACCTGCATTGGTGTCATTGACCCAACAGACGTAGGCAGAACTGGTGATTGTCACCCTGTGACAAGGGGGACAGAGTAACCCTCAAACTTGCAAGAAGGGACCCAGGGGACGCATCTATTGGACCACTGAGCCCCAGTGGGGGTTCCAGGGGCCCTTAGATGCTCTGCTAAGGGAAGCTCAGGAAAGTAACTGTTAACTAGTGCCCCAAACTACCAAGCGAACTACTAATTGGTGAACCCCTGGGACGTGTACACACACATGGGAACCTAGCGAAAGACCACAAAGAATACAGAATTACAAGGGTCAACAACATCACGTTGCAAACCCTCCACCAGGTATATAACAAAAAGATAGGAAAAAACCCGGACGAGTACAACGTCACCAGGTGGAATAGAGCCGGCCGCTGTATTATGGTGAAAACAGGCTGCACACTGCCTTATGCCCCTACCAGTGACGAAGCTACTTCCTACCCAGAGGCAAATGGGGGGTGCATGAAACACCCCAGCTGACTCCATGGGCGGGCAGTCATCGAGCAGCAAAAGACCACAGTGGAGGTAGGTCCCAAACAACTTGTGGAAGGGAACCCCAAGTAACACGGGCAGTACTTACAGCGCACCCAGGGAAGGTAACCCTAGGCTTATGCAGCCCAGAGTACGGGTGAATGTACTCCTGGCTCACACTCCACAAGGCACAGCACTGGACAAAGTCTGGAGCTTGAGTTGCATGCTCACCTGGTCTCACATCAGCCACAGAACTAGGGGTGGATAGCTGGCGCGTGGGGTCTGGGACTCCCTCTTTCCCCTCCCAGGGACGGGAGGAGCTGCCCAGACGGCAGCGCAGTGATAATTGTGACGTCATGCTCATTTGCTCATTTTTCGTTTGGGGAGTTCTGTTCAACTGTTCGGCTTTCAGTAGCAATTTTTTTTAACCAGATGGGGTTTGTTTTGGGACGCCTACCTTTCTGGGGTGCCTGACCCGGTCGACGGCAGACATAGAATGCTTCCAACCACACGGGGGTTTCTATAGGCCATTGCTCCTCTTGCCTTTCTTTAGGGAGTCAGGTTCTGGCTCGTGGTCCCCGGCAGGCCTAAGAACTCCATTAGCTTTAAATGATGCCATGGTCTAATACATTCATATCAGCCCAGAATCCGGGGAGCCGAAGGGGCTCCCCCCCTTCGTACATTATATATGTACATTATGCACTATATATTATACATAAACACTTTCATCTTATTCTAATGTAATTTTTGTTTCTTTAATTTTAGCAAACCAAAAGAAAAATAAGAACAGGATTCTTTACATGCTGTGTTAGAGGGTGTACTTACAGCAGTATCAGCAATTTGGATTTGATTCAACATATTATTGCTACTCATGGACCTTACAAGTGCATTGCTTCAGGCTGCAAGTTTGTGACAAAATCCAGGGAACACTTTAGTATTCATTTAACAGGCTGTCATCCGAAGGTGAGTTTTTCATTTGTTATGGTGGTAGTTTTGTTCACAAATACTGTTGAAATTCTCATAACACAATAAAAAGTGAATTTGATTTGATGTCTTTAAATTTCAGCTCAGTTTCTTGGTGTGTCCGTTTCATTGTAAGAATGTATTTCGAAATTTCACCGAGTTGATTGATCACCTGTCTGAACATCATTCTCAAGTAGGAAATGAGGAAGATCAGGTTATGCAACCAGAAGAAGGTAAGGTTCAAGGTGTATTGTTTGGTGGTGCAGGGAGTCATGGACAGATATAAGTTATTTTTTTTTCTAATGTGCATATTTCCATCTTAATAGTTCACATTTCTTTATGCTGATGTTATTTTGTTGTATATTTCCTGGGAAAGCCACAAGGGGCTTCCAGAACCCATCTCGCTGAGATGGCTCCCAATTACTGCATCACATCAGCCACAGAGTTCTGTTTGGCTTTCTGTTGACCAGAGCCAGAACCTGGCACCCCACTGCTCCCCACCCACCCACCCAAGAAAATATCCAGAAAGACTGCAAACCAATACATTGCTGGATGCAAAGAGACTGGAGCCTCGAAAGTCTCGAGCAAACTTTATAAACAATGTAAAGAAATGATCGACTCTCTCAAAACTATTGCTAGCTCGTTAGGACTGTCCTTTTCTGATAGGGAGGGGGAACTGGAGCTCCCGGGCTTCCCCAAACCTTTCAAGCCAGTTCTGTTGCTGATTTAGATGTCATAAGCTGTCTCACTGTAGAGTTTTCAGGTCATCAACTAACTGCGCTGGTCCCACAGCTGCTCATTGTCGGCCATCCTTGGACTTTGTCCTGCAGGAAGGTGGAGGGGCATTTGCTTGGCATTCTGTATTTTAGTTAGCTTCATGGGTGTGTTTTGTGTCTGGTTTGTAATTGTCTAAGTGTAGTTACAGGATGAGAGCTATGATCATGGTGTCCTATCATCCCAGTACTCTGTGATAAAACACTTTGAAACTACTGACAGTTTTGGCCTCCACTAATTGCAAAAGAAAACGTTCTAATGTTATTGCCACCTTTGTTTTCTTAGCTTGAATCTATGACCTCTTGTTCTCTAGTTCTTTAGGTTGCCAATTTCAGGAATTCCTCTATGTCAATTTGATTTGTGGGATTTTTTTAATCATTTATCAAGGCCTTCAATGATGGAGTTAGTTGGTCCCTCCCTCCCCACTCTGAGGTTAGGGCTTTCAGGCTGGGCCTCTTCCCTTGGCCTCCATTAGGTCATTGCAGAGTGGGTGGCTTGCAGCATGGTCGAGCCTCCGGTTTCTCCTTGTTGGGTCTTTCATCTCTTCGCTGTTGAGAGATGGGACTCATTGGAGCTCTGCTTCATCCTCGCTCTTTCAGAGTTAAATGTGATCATCTCAGTCCCCACTTTCTGCATGACCGCTCTGGTCTCAGTTCACCTCTTGTTAGAGATTGGAGCTTGGTTGTTTCTCTATGGACCTCAAGGATGCTTATTGGCATGTCCCCATATGTCCAAGGTTCAGTGATTGGTTGGGTTTTGTCGTGGGCCATCAAGCTTACCGTCTCAGGGTGTCCTTCCCTTCAGTTTGGATCTGGCTCCATGTATTTTTACCATGTTCATGTTCTGGCTTGCCATGATGACTGGCTGATTTGGGCTCCCAATTAATCCATGTGTCTGCTAGCCAGGGTTCTGGTTATTTCTCAGTTGACCAGGTTCAGGTTCCTGGTAAACTGTCAGAAATCCAAGTTGGTTTAATCCCAGATTAGAACTCTTGCAAAACTCTTGGTTGCCATCACTTCCCCTTCCTCCAACAGCTTTGCGCCAGCTACAGCGTTACCATGTCCTAGTGTTCAGGTGGCCCTAGGTGACTCGGCATTTGTCAAGCAGTTGTGCAAAAGCCTGAACTTTACCAGTGTAGTTTTCCTGCTGGGCAGTGTGTGGTTTCAGGGAGTTGTTCTTGTTTCTGTTTCCACCTCATTTGCCACTACCATCAGGTTCAGGACCCAATCACCCTTCATCAGCTGCTGCTTCACTGATTTCCTCTTCAGGTTTTCAAGGCTCAGTTCCTTTACACTTTCCTTGGCTCGATGTGTAATTACCTAAGTGTAATTACCTAAGTGTAGTTACAGGATGAGAGCTACACTCGTGGTGTCCCGTCTTCCCAGCACTCTTTGTCATATAACGCTTTGAAACTACTGACGGTCTTGGCCTCCACCACCTTCTCACCTAACTTGTTCCAACCATCTACCACTCTGTTTGCGAAAGTGAATTTTCTTATATTTCTTCGGCATCTGTGTTTAGCTAGTTTATATCTATGACCTCTTGTTCTTAAAGTTCCAGGTCTCAGGAAATCAGTGTGTATGAATGTGTTGGCTCTGGGCTGGGATTTTGTGACCAACACTTGCTAGGCTGCCCCGATTTGGTGACCAACGCTCACTAGGCTGTTAAGTTGGATCTGTTTCATCAAGCATTCAGTACAGTGCATGAGTTTGGAGCTATCCAGCATGCTCTACGGATGATTAGGATTCTGCCGGGGCAGGAATCGATAAAATTGATAGGGAAGAATTACTGAGACCCGGAACTTCAAGAACAAGAGGTCATAGATTTAAACTAACGAAACAAAGCTGCCAGAGAAATATACAAAAATTCACTTTTGTAAACAGAGTGGTAGACAGTTGGAACAAGTTAAGTGAGAAGGTGGTGGAGGCCAAAACCATCAGTAATTTCACAGCATTATATGACGGAGTGCTGGAGAGACGGGACACCACGAGCGTAGCTCTCATCCTGTAACTACACTTAGGTAATAATTACGTGGAGTGTTTGGGCTCCTTTTGGTCCTGCATAGACCCTTGTGCCTCCTGGGCAGGGTTTATTGTTGCAGGGCCGGGGGTTTTCGTATCCTCCATCACTATATGAATTTGAGTTGGGATTGGCTCCCACGCCCCCCCCTCCCTATTGGGCTTTTATATCTGCATTTGAAACTAACATGTGTATGGAGTTTGCCTCAACTACATCAATTCCCTAAGCATTCCATTTGTTAACTACTGACACTGAAAAAATTATAATATGTCTCATTTGGGTACTAAGTTTCCATTTGTGTCCCATTGTTCGTGCAAAACCCATGTAAATATTTTATCTTTATCTACAGAGAGGCTCAGCATGAATGTTTCATTTCATGTAATTCAAAAATAATTATGTTAGGAGAATGTATGTATGCACATCCAGTGGTACTGTACCTTCGTTTACGATCCTAATGCGTTCTCAGAAACGCGTCATACACCAAAAATTCGTCAACAAAAACAAACTTTCCCCTAAGAAATATTGTAACTTGAATTAATCCGTTACTCACCCCCAAAAAATATTAACTTAAAAATACATTTTCTAGGGGGAGCCCCTACGGCTCCCCGGAACTATCCATGGCTGATATGGATACCCTAACTATTTTGCATCAGTCGATGTGGGTGGAGTTCTAGGCCTACCGGGGACCACGAGCCAGAACCTGGCCCCCTCCGAGAGGCTCAGGGAGCAATGGCCCATAGAAATGCAAATGTGATTTGGAGCATTCTATATCTGCCATCGACCGGGACAGGCACCCAGAAAGGTAAGCGCCACAAAACAAACCTCTATTCTGGTTAACAACAAAAAGCGACAAGCGAGTGGACAGAACTCCCCCAGGAAAACGAACTAACAAGCATGACGTCACACGAGCCGCGCCGCATGTCTACGCAGCTTCCCCCTCCCCGGGAGGGGGAAGGGGGAGCCCCAGACCCCCGCGCCTGCCATGCCTCCTGGTCTCATGTGCTGTTTTTTCTGTGTGCAGGTGTGGGACCAGCCCCTCTAATATTTTCCACATATAGATTATTATGTATCTCTCCCGCCTGCGCTCAAGAGAATACAGATTTAGGCTCTTTAGTCGTTCCCAGTAGCTTAGATGTTTTACTGGGTGGATTCTAGCAGTAAAGGATCTCTGCATGCTCTTCAGGTCAGCAATTTCTCCAGCTTTGAAAGGGGCTGTCATTGTACTCCACTCTAGAGAGCACTAGCATCTTGAAAAGTATCATCATCGGTATAGCATCTCTATTGTGAAAAGGTCTTGTTATCCAACCTGTCATTTTTCTTGCAGTTGTGATAGTTGTGACAGCAGGAATTGATAAAATCGATAGGGAAGATTTCCTGAGACCTGGAACTTCAAGAACAAGAGGTCATAGATTTAAACTAACTGAACAAAGATGCCGAAGAAATATAAGAAAATTCACTTTCGCAAACAGAGTGGTAGACGGTTGGAACAAGTTAAGTGAGAAGGTGGCGGAGGCCAAAACTGTCGGTAGTTTCAAAGCGTTATATGACTAAAGAGTGCTGGGTAAATGGAATACTATGAGCGTAGCTTTCATCCTTTAACTACACTTAGGTAATTACACGCACCTTCCCCCAGGGGGAGCTCCGGACCCCCGTGCTGGCTGCCCACTCTTCAGTTTGAAAACTGAAGCTCTCTGGAGCAGTTGTTAACTCCAGAACAACCGACCAGAGGCTCTGGCCTCTGGTTGCTTTGACCTTAGTTCAGTCCACGCCTTCAGGTCCTTCCACGGTGGGCGTGCCCTGCTGCTGGCTCCCAAATTTCTGAGGGTTTTGGAGTTGGGGCAGAGTTTAGTTGTTGATAGGGCTCAGGCAGATTCAGAGGCTGCCCCATTCAAGCCTGATCCTCCTATCGAGGCTTCTGGGTCCTACCAGCAGACCCCCCTCTTTGCTGCCTTTTCTTCAGGGGTGGAGGGCATAAAGGATGACTTTGCCCCGGGGCTTGGGAGGAGTCGCACTGGGGGGGCTTAGACCTTCCTGTGATCCCACTTGGGTTTTGGTTCCCTCGTCATGGGGTTTGTTGTTGCAGGGGGAGGGGTTTTCTTAGCCCCCTTCCATGTACGAGTTTGATTTTGGGGTTGGCTCCTCCCTGGGTTTGTTTCCAAGTTCTCTTGGGTTCCACAGCTCCATTTTTCCGGACGTTTTTTGCCTCTCACATCCTGCCTAAGGAGGTTCAGTAGGCTTTTACGGCAGCTTACCTACTGTGAGACTCGGATTTTGCCTCTGATGGCTTCATCCTCGTTTGAGTATGGTTCTTTCCCGTATTGGCTGTGTTATGAGGTTCTGGAGTCTTCCTGGCTGGCAGGCTTCCCTTTCTTTTCTCAGGGAGCGTAGTACGGGTTTTGTCAGACCCACACGCTTGAATAGCAGGAGGCTGCTACCATTTTGCAGGTTTACTTGGGGGGCGATTTTGAGCACCTCAATGCATGCCTTTTGCCCCTGTGCTTCCTCGGGATGTTGGCTTTCTGCGGCTGCACGTGCAGGTTCCCACTCTTTCGGCTACTTTGGTAGCTGAGGATTTTCATACCCGCGGGTATTTAGCCTCAGTCTTGTGCTTCTTTTCCCTTCTCAAGTTAATTTGGGGAGAATGTAGAGGCATTGAGAGCCGGACCTTTGTATGGGGCGCTGGCCTCAGCCGCCAGGGCATCAGCTGCTCTGTTGAAGCTGTTTGCTCTGATACTACGAGAGGCAGTGTCTCTGTTCTTTACCACTAGCCTCGCATGTCGTCAGGCCATCCTCACTCTCTCCTTGGAATCCATTTGTGCTCTAGCTCTTAGATTTTTGTTGTCTTTATGTCCGTTGTTGTTTACGGATGGCTTTGTGACTCAGTTTTTGCAGGCTGCCTCGTCTAGTTGTTGTCCTCTTTCAGGTTTGTTGGTTCGTTTGTTGTTCTATTCAGGTTATGGTCGAGGTGGGCCCCCTTAGTGCCAGTTTTGTTTCTGAGCCGGTACCTCCTTCAGAGTCGGCGTCGTCTGTTTGGTGCAATGCTTACTTTGCTTGTCGGCTGGCTTTTGGTAAGGGGGCGTCAGCCCTTTCGCAGGTTGCCCCATTGACTGGGGAAGTGTCTGGCTCTGTTTGCTCACGCTTAGTCCCACAATTCGTGGGTGTTTCGGGTCGTGTCTTCTGGCCTGTGGCTGTGGTAGTGGCGACTCCTCATCCTTCCAGGGATTGAGGGCTGGCGAAGCAGGCTTCTTACCCTTTGCTCTGTCAGGTCATCTTGGAGTGGGTGCGCTTGGACGTGGTCAAAACGACCTCGTCCCTCAGGTGGGTTTCCCACCTGTTTCTAGTACCAAAACAGGACTGTGAGGATCTTCGGTTCATTTTGGATTTGTCCCATCTGAACCGCTGGATTCCTTGCCCCTCCCTTCAGATGACCACTCTGTCCCAGATCCGGCTTCTTTTGGAGCCGGGGTTTTGGATGGTGTCTCTGCACCTCCGGGATACATATTGGCACGTCACAATTCATTCTGGGTTCAGGGTTTGGGATTTCTGGTTAGATTTTGTCATGGGGCAGCGTGCTTATTGCTTTTGTTGCCTTTTGGCCTGAAACTAGCGCCAAGCATTTTCACGTGGCTTACCTGGGTCGTCATGACCCATCTACTTCTGCTAGGGGTTCGGGTTCTGGCCTACGTCGATGACTGGTTGGTGTGGGTGAAATACCCAGAAAATGGCGTTTGATTACATTATATATATATATATATGTGTGTGTGTGTGTGTATTCACCTAGTATTCACCTAGTTGTGTTTGCGGGGGTTGAGCTTTGCTCTTTCGGCCCGCCTCTCAACTGTCAATCAACTGTTTACTAACTACACTTAACTACTTTTTTTTTTTTTTTTTTTTTTTTTTTCCCTCTCTCACACCACACACACACACCCCAGGAAGCAGCCCGTGACAGCTGATTAACTCCCAGGTATCTATTTACTGCTAGGTAACAGGGGCATTCAGGGTGAAAGAAACTTTGCCCATTTGTTTCTGCCTCGTGCGGGAATCGAACCCGCGCCACAGAATTACGAGTCCTGCGCGCTATCCACCAGGCTACGAGGCCCCGTGTGTGTGTGTGTGTGTATATATATATATATATATATATGTATGTATGTATGTATGTATGTATGTATGTATGTATGTATGTAAAAGTTTTGGGATGTTTGTTGAATTGTGTAAAATAAACTATTTTTGTTCTTCACATATCTAATATTATATTGTCATCTCCTTTCATGGTGTTCAGCAGGGAAGGAGAAGACCGGTGAGTTTTAATATTTACTTAATGCATTATTATGCATAAAATTTGGTCATTTTAGCCTTGGGCATACTGTATACACATGCTTCTCTAGGTGAAAATGATAGAGATGACCAGACCATATTGGTTTAGAAAAAAGGGCAACACTTGTTCAGTTTGAAACAGTGATGCTGCAAGATGAAAATGTTATATTATAGTAGTTGTGTTTGCATGAATTGAAGCGTAAATACTGTAAGTGAAAGGCGTGACATTGCTTATTTTTCTTTTTCTTTTTTCAGATTCCGAAATTCCAGGGTTTTTACGCATTGAGAGTGTAAGCACTTTAGATCCAACTGCTGCTTCACAAATGTTTGGAGATGGTTAGTATATAAACTTTTAAATAATAGGCCTTTGGATTCATATGTATTTTTAATGCAGAATGCAATACATGCTCTCAGATAGTTAATAGTTATCTTATATAAAAATGGAACTTTTGTTTTCCTGTCTGGTTATTTGCTAACCTATTTTCATTCCCTTCTTTAGTGGGTTGAAGGTTTAAACTAAAGGGGTAAAGCAGTGTGCAGTGGTAAATTAGATAATGAGATCTTGCAGGCTCTACTTTTAAACAAAACGTTAACATTTTACTGTATATGGCAGCAATGTCACGAGAAGGTGGTACATGATGCCACACACTCAAGGAAAGGGAAGTATTAGAGGAATTAAGATATCAACAAATATAGAGATGGATACAAATTAAAAGGTAATATTTTATATGGATTATAAAGTATAATTAAATTATTTTAATTGTGATTTCTTGTCTCACTATAACTATTACATTAAGATTGCACATAACATTTAATACCACTGTCCATTATACAGTAGAGTGGTACAGCAAAAGTCATGTCTACACTCTTTAGCAATTGATCATCATTAAATGTTTGTGTGCACAGTGCTCCCTCGATTCGGCGAACTATTTGGGACCCACCCTGATTTGTTGGAGTGAGGGATTCGTTGCAACAGGTGATACCTTCAGGAAGCATTTATGTAATGCACATTTTAGTAATATATAACAAGAATAATTCATTATTATATACTACTATTTAACTGTGCAGCTATGAATTGGTATACACTTCAGAAAAGGCATACTGTATACAATATTTTCATTGAATCCTCTTGAGTTACCATTTGTGATTATAAAAACCTTGTGTGTGACTTGGTCACAAAGGGGGCCACCAACTGTTAACAAACATTGCCATCCCCACAACTCTCAATACCCACATGAGTGAGGGATGGATAGCAAGAGGTAGAGGCCGAATTAGTGAGGTGAAGATAGAAGCAGGATGAACGCAGTGTAGGAGCAGTGAGGGGGAGAAGGAAGTAAGGGAGGGATAGAGGCAATTAGAGATGGATAGAGGCATTGAGGGAGGGATAAAGGCAGTGAGGGTTTGGGCGTCATTAGTTTAATGACTGTCTTGTCACAGTCACTACACTAGCAGGAAGGCACTATCCATCAGGCAGTCCCCGTGGTGAAGTGGTAACACACTCGCCTGGCATTTTGCGAGCCCTTTGGCCTGGGTTCATGTCCTGGCCAGGGGAGAATTTACTTGGCACCAATCCTTAACTGTAGCCTCTGTTCACCCAGCAGTAAGTTTGTTTAGCCTGACAATATCGTGCCTGATTATCTCCACCCATTTTGTCTAGACTGACAATATCTAGTATGTCTACATTCAGTTTGTCTAGCCTGACTGTCTACACCCAGTTTGTCTAACTTGACTGTCTACACCCAGTTTGTCTAGCCTGGTAGTATGTGTATAGGAGAACTTTTCCACCAGTCTGTGAATTATCTCCCTCTATCCAAAGCAAATCTGCACATCCCCTGCTTCAGCGAACCAGAATTTGTTGAATCGGGTGAGTAAATCCAGCCTGAAAAGTGTACATCCTAACCAGAGATTTGTTGAACCAAGGTTCACCGAATTGGGGGTCCACTGTACAGTAGTATTTCTTAAAATTATTTCCATCACAGAAATTTTGAGATTGGCCATGTATAAAACCTCTTAAACATTTCAAACACTGACCATAGCTACTGCCTAATTATAAAAATTGTTTCAGATGTGTAATGATTTACAGAAGATTTTATTCACGATTTTATCATATTTTGGCAAAAATCCTTGTCATTTTGATAGGAAACTGTGTTGGAAGGAAACACATTTGTTCCCCATGATCATATGAAAATTAGGAAAATTTGTTCGCCCCCAGAAATTTTTGGGGGGGGAGAGCCCTGTCGACTCCCTGGAGCTACTTACCCAAAGACAAAAACATGGAGGACTTACCTGGGAGGTGGTCGGCACCAACCTCAACTCAAAGTCGAGACAACTGCCGCAACTGACGACCCAATGTGACGCAGGCCTGATTAGGCCCAGGAATGTTGACAAGGTAGCAAGCGGCCAAGACCCTGTTCGACCTCCAAAAACCCTGTGCCCGAATGTCAGCCCAAGACATGTTACCGAAGACAGCAGCCAGCGCAGCAAACTTACGAACATCATGGGCACGAGGATAGACCGCAGGCTGACTGAACCGAATAGCTGCAAACAATCTGGGAGACCCTAACCCAGGAACAGGGAAGAAAGGAAACCGGGTCAACCCAAAGTGTGTTCCCTGCCCCCGAGGCCGTGGCACGCAGGTTACTGCGGAAAGCCGCAACCGGACACAACACATGATGCACCCCCGGCCTGACCAACCAAGCATCAGCAACCCCAGGACCCATCCGGAAAGTAGCAGCCTCATTCTTTGCCAGAAAAGGAGGAGACGGCTGCAAACTAACAAACCTACCACCAGTACCAAAAGAGCAGAAATCCCTTAGCCGGAGGAGAGCATGAAGCTTGAGGAGCACGCTCCATGAGGCGGAGCTACCGGAAAACCCTCGGGTTCAAACACTGGCTTGAAACAAGCAGGTTTCAAGCAGCACTTGAGAGTTTAGTGAAAGACTTGTGCAAGGATAAGAATCAATTGGAAACAAATTGCAAAGCCATGGAAGAAGAAAATAAACTCTTAAAAATATCTTTGGAAGAAGTTAAAGTAAATTTAAACATAAATGACTACAATAGGTTAAGTAAGGAAATTCAACGGGAGAAACAGCTTTTGTCAGCACAGATGGAGGAAGTTACTCAGGGAATAGAACAGTGCAAGAAAGATATGCAACTCACCTATGCACAAGTGGCCAAGGAGAAGGAACAAATTGAAGAAGCAGTAAAGGAAGTCAAACACTGCAGCAACCAAGATAAAACAAACATTAGGCTGGAAGTGAGAAAAGAATTGGCATCTAACCCAAAGTTGGTGCAAAACACAGTTGATCAGAGTAAGTCCCTGATAATTTTTGGCTGCAAAGAAAAGGAGATAACATCTAGGTCAGAAAGATCTGTAGAAGAAGCAAAAGTAGTAGATAAAATTGTTGGCCTCGTGGAAGGTCTTACAACCATAGAGAATGTGTGCGACTACAGGAGAATAGGCAGATATGTAAAAGGGAAAGATCGACCTTTGAGGATCACCCTAAATGGTGCCAAACAGATGGAAGAAGTACTAAGGAATGCTAGAAAATTACAAAGTGATGAGGATGGGAAAGTGTGGTCGTTAAGACGAGATCTTTCAAAAGAAGATAGAGAGAAGCTGAAACTGAACCTCGCCGAGGCAAAACGTTTAAATGAGAGCAGGAATCAAGAAGAAATCAATTCTTTTTCTACAAAGTGATAGGGGTAGGCAGACCAGTAAAGTGGTACATAAAAGCAAACCAACAAAATCATTAGAGAGGGGGGGAGTGAAAAATAAGAAGAGGGGAAACAAGTTCCTGAATATTGCATACACCAACATAGATGGAGTAAGATCGAAGATACTGGAGTTAAGTGATGTAATACAGTTGCAGACACCAGACATTGTTGCACTCACGGAGATAAAACTTGAAGATGTTATTATGAGGTCATATTCCCAAGGGGCTACTCAATTTGGAGACGGGACAGAAAAATTAGGAAAGGCGGTGGCGTTGCTGTGCTGGTGAAAGAACACCTAAAGGTGAAGGAAATAATGACTGCCAATCCACAAGAAGTTGACATAATAGCACTAGAGATCTGCCATGAGGATGATAAACTAATGATCATAAATGCATATAGTCCACTGCCAAGCAGCACATGGTCAAAGGAGGAGCTAGATAGTAAACGAGAAGGTCTTATAACAATAATGAGAGAGATCATAGCGAGAGCGGATAACGATGGTTCACGATTGTTGATAGTCAGCGACTTCAACTTGAAATCCATAGACTGGGAAGCATATGAAGCTAAAACAGAAGATTTTGGGACCTGTAAATTTGTAGAGCTCATCCTGGAAACATTCTTGTATCATGTTAAACAAGCTACGAGGATGAGGGAAGGGGACGTTCCCTCCATGCTAGATTTGATATTTACCAGGAAGGAGGAAGAAATATTTGACATTCAGTACCTTCCTCCCTTGGGTAAAAGTGACCATGTCTTTTTGGGAATAAAGTATGCAATGCGTTATAATCTGGAAGAAAATATGAAGGTAGATGCAATTGAAAAACCTGACTTTAGGAGAGGACATTATGGCAACCTTAGAAAATTTTTTAGTGAGTATAATTGGACAGACTTGTTGCTAGGCAAGGAAGTGAATGAGATGTATGTCAAGTTTTGTGAAATATATGATAAAGGCACAAAAAAAATTTATACCAAAACAGAGATGCAGAACTAGGAAACAGGATTGGTTCAACAGAAATTGCGAGAGGGCCAGAGACCAAAAGACACAAAAATGGAATCAATACAGGAAGAGGCCAAACCCCTAAACATACCAGCAATACAAAGATGCGAGAAACAACTACACGGCAGTGAGGAGAGAGGCAGAAAGACATTTTGAAAAAGGGATTGCAGACAAATGTAAAACAGAACCAGGTCTATTCTATAAATTCATAAACAACAAATTGCAGGTAAAGGATAATATTCAGAGGTTGAAAATGGGAAATAGATTCACAGAAAATGAAAAGGAAATGTGTGAAAGATTAAATGAAAAGTTTCAAAGTGTGTTTGTACAAAATGAAATCTTCAGGGAACCAGATACAATAAGTATTCCAGAGAACAACATAGAGTACATAGAAGTGTCTAGAGACAAAGTGGAAATAATGCTCAAGGAGCTAAATAAGAACAAAGCAGTTGGTCCAGATGGAGTTTCACCATGGGTTCTGAGAGAATGTGCACCTAAGCTCAGCATTCCACTTCAACTGATTTGAACTGCACTTGCTGCTATGTTGGGGGCGTGGTCGGTTTCCACCGCTTCATTTCCTTGTGCGTTCCCTTGTTTCCTCCTCTGCCGCAGGGGTGTTCTGCGTGTGTTCCTGGGCTTCTTGGGCGTTTTTTCAGCCTGTGTCCTGTGGTGTGCTTCTTTGTCTCTGTTTGTTGCAGTTGCTCGTACCCCTTGGTTCGGGTACTGTTTCTGGCGGCAACCCTTCCGCCTTCTTTGGTTTCCTAGCTTGCCCTGCCGGTAGGTTTTTCGGGGTCTTGCGATGTCTCGCGTCGGACCTGTCGTTTCTGAACTCCTGGTGGGCTTGCTTGCTTTGGGGAGTTTTTCTGTTCGGCAGACGTTCCATCTCCTTGTGCCGCCTGGGTTTCGGTGGTCGCGCCCGAGATCTTCTTGCGACTCCGCCTTTTCCTGGGCTCGGAGGGGCCTTGTCGGGGCTGCTTACGTTCTGCCTTGTGGTCTCGCCTCCGGTTGGTGGTCAGGTGGCTTCGTGGTAGGTGTCCCACCTGCATCCTTCTCTTGGCGGCAGTATGGGGTATTTTGGCGGTCCTTCCTTTTCCTGTCCCTTCTTTGGTGGTTAGTCTTGTTAGCGTCGGCTTGGTTTTCTGGTGGGGGTTTTGGGCCGTCGTCTTGCCACATACTGTCGCCTCTTTTCATGCGGCGCTGGCGGAGCCGCTTTGGCTTGCTTTCGGTCTTGGTGTTGCTTCTGCACCGTTAGTAAGCTGTCTTGTGAGTCGTTTCACCTCCGGCCTGTTCGTGCGCCGCTTGCACCATCCTGGTCTCTGGTCAGCGTGCTCTGTCTTCTCCTCGGTTGGTAGTGCCCCTTCGGTTCCGGTTTGTTTTTTTTCGTCGGCTTTTTTCCTTTTGGCATTTGCCTCTGGGGGTCGGGTCGCTAAGTTTTCTTGCTCCTTCGGTTTTAGCGTTTTGGTTGTTCGGTGGCAGCAGTCTCCATCTTTTCTGGCGTGGGGTGGGGCTGCTGCGTTCTGGAGGGGTCCATGGTTTGTTAATGCTTCGTTGGTCGGGCCGGGGGTGTGTCATATTTTGTGTTCAGTGGCGGCCCTCCGCTGTTGTTTGCGTGCCACAGCGTCTGTGTCCGGAGCGCATTTTGCGTTGATCCGGTTCTGTTCTTCCCGGTTCGCGGGTGATGGTGTCCCGGGTTGTCGGCCGTGTTCTTGCGACATAGCTGCCTGTGTTCTTCCCTCATGCCCGTGGCGTTCGTGGCTTAGCTGCTCTCGCTGCCGTCTGGGCGACGTGTCCTAGCAGTCTTTCGGGCATGGATGTTTGGTGTTCGTACGGGGGCCTTGCTGCTCGTTCTCGTGTTGTTCCCGGGCCTTTTCGGGGCTGTGGCGCCTTGGGTTGGTGTTTGCTGCCGGTTGTCTCGCTTCCGTGGGGGGTGCGTGGTGTCCGCCTCCCGGTTCCATCCCTTTGACCTTCCTCTGTGGGTAGTTAGCTCCGGGGAGCCGACGGGGCTCCCCCCAGAAAACCAGCGTTGAATGTAATGAAACGCCATTTTCTGGGCGAGACCCGGAGGCTCCCTGGCAACCCTCCCTCCCTCCGGTCGGCAGTTTTTCGCGTGTTTTGACATCCAGCCTCAGAACTGATGGGTGGATAGCTGGCGTGGGAGGTCTGGGGCTCCCCCTTCCCCCTCCCGGGGAGGGGGGAGCTGTGCAGACAGCAGCACGGTGACATGTGACGTCATACTAATTTGCTTGTTTTCTGTTAAGGAGTTCTGTCCACTAGTTCGGCTTTAGGTAGCAATTTTCACCAGAATAGGGGTTTGTTTTGGAATGCTTACCTTTCTGGATGCTTGACCCGGTCGATGGCAGACATAGAATGCTTCCAACCACACGGGGGTTTCTATAGGCCATTGCTCCCCTTGCCTCTCTGAGGGGGCCAGGTTCTGGCCGTGGTCCCTGGTAGGCCTTAGAACTCCATACACATGACTGATGCCAAAGTCTGACATTAGCATATCAGCCTGGTAAAGCTCCGGGGAGCCTTCGGTTCTCACCCAGAAAATAGTGTTTCATTACATTCAACGCTGGTTTTTTCAGGAGAGCTCTAGTCTGCTCCTCTACCCTTCAGTGAAACAAAAATTTAAATGTTCTTTCATTCAGCATTGTCAGGTGTTGGTCCTTATTTGGTGTCTAAAGTCATACACCTCTCAAGTTATCTATAAATTAACATTATCAGTCATCATTCACCTTGGATTATTTCTCCACAGATTATGATGGCTCCTCAAGTCAGCCTGTTTCCAGTTCATCCCCAGTAAACTCTCCACTAAACCACCCAGTCTCTCAAGAGCAAGGACTAGCAATTAGTACATCTGGTGCATCGGTAATAAATATTGGAAATTCTTTGGTTTCTGTTCCTATTACCTCTAGTATGACAGAAAGCAAGAACAGTTTTTCAACACCTGGACTTGCACAAATTGGAATAAGCATGTCTCCTGCTGTAATAACACCACAAGTAAGCACTATGCCATTCCCTGGAAGCTCACATTCTGGAGCAGTTTCTCTTCTTCGGGGAAATTCGGAAAAATCTCCCGAAATGATAAAAATTACTATTCAGACTTCCCCACAGTCTTCTGAAACGAGGAAGCCCCAGCCAGCTGTCGTGACCCTTGATGAAGAAGGAGCCAGAATAAGCAGATCTCACAGTGAGCACCCTCCACCCCCTGGAATTGCCACACTTCCCAAAATTCCTCCAACTGTTCCTGTCCAGTCAATATTCCAAGCGTGAGTTATGCTTCAGTTTTAATGAGTAATTTTTTTTTTTTTAACTTGAACATTTTCATTATATGTTTCGAGAACTTATACTATCAGTATGCTTGCAAAATTAGGTAATCTTTTACAATTACAGTCTTTGATATAGATTTCAAATTGGTAGCTGTATATAATTTAAATTAATTGAAAGGAAAATTATGTAATGACCTCATTAGAGGGACATTCCTAAGTCAGATTACTAGAGCACCAGGGAAGACCAGCTCCAGGCCATGCTGCAAGAGTATGAAAATATTTGAACTCCTCCACAAGTATTATTGTTAGCAGTGTTACACATTTAGTAGGTAACAATGATGAGTAGTATTTTCCATGAAGTTAAAAGAATCCATTTGCTCCTTGATAGCTTTTTGGCTACATTTTTCTGGTTTCTGTTGTGCTAGTTTAGTGGGGAATTATGTTTTTCATAGTTATTGTATAAATTAATGGTTACCAAAGCAAAATTTGTAGAATGGTTGATTGTTTTGTGATTTTTTATAATAGAATGGCTCATCTAGGTAGTGGATTGATTTGCAATTCCAGTGAGCTTCTCTGCCATGCAAGGTGGCAAGTAAAGATGGTGTATGCAAAGAAAAAAACCTTTGTATGCTAAGATTATCACCTGAAGCCAGGCATTGTCATTGTGTCCTGACACATATCAGTGACAATTTTAGAGCAGCCACTGAGGTACAACTCAGAAAGATGCATTTCATTATACTCTGTGCTGTGTATTATATAAAATGTAATTTTATTTACATTTTATTTTACGGAGTGTATTTACATAAACTCAGTAATTATCTAAGTGTAATTACGTAAGTGTAGTGACAGGATGAGAGCTACGCTCGTGGTGTCCCGTCTTCCCAGCACTCTTTGGCATATATATATGTCTGAACCCGAGAGTCTTTCTGTGACTCCACCTCTTTCAGCAGGTCAGGCCAGTGAGGTACCTCACTGGTTCGACTTACTCTTCTGCTCGCATCTGGTTTTTCTGATGTAGGTGTATCGCCACTTGTGTGGTGATCAGGTGGCTTCCTTGATGGTGTCCCATCTGCTGTCTTTGTCTCGGCGACAGTATGAAGTCTCCTGGTGGTTTTTCAGCCATTTCTTTTCCGTTCATAGGGTGTTGTCTGTATCTGTTCAAGTTGTAGGTGCTGTGCAGCTTTGTATTCCTGACATAGCGGCCGGCTCTGTTCCTTCGGATGACTGTCCTCTTGCGGGGTTTTCTTTTTCTTTTTCTTTTTGCATTGTGGGGGGTTCTGCCCTATTATTCCACTAGTGTTTGCCCTTCCACAGTTCTCCTCGGTGGCGCCCCCTGCTAGGTCCCCGTGAGTGTATACGTCCCTGGGGTTCAGCTATAGAGGTTTGCTTGGTAGTTTTGGGTGCTGGTTAGCTGCACCCTGCCTGGGACTACCTGAGCGTGAGTCCTCTTAAAGTAAACGCTCAGGACCCTGGGAAACCCCTAGGGGATATGTGGGTCCGATGGATGTGACCCCGGAGTCCCCACTCGATTTGTGTGAGTTTGAGGGTTGCTCGGTCCCCTTGTCTTGGGGTGACTCATTGTTTTTGCCTCCGCCACGCTGCCTGTTGGGTCGGTGATACTTTCAACCCTGAGTCCTGTGAGTGTTGCTGCTTGCTTGTGACTCAATTTACCCAATCCTCTGATGATTCAATTTGGGTACAGGCGGCAGTGTGCGTTAGAAGCTAGGTTTCGTCTTTTGCAACACACTTGGTTGGTTGCTCACCCGGATGCCCCGGGGCTGCCCCGATTTGCTTTTCGAGACCCAGACTTGTGGGTGGAGGTCGCATCAATCCTGGTTCAGTCCGCACCTCCTCATCCTTCCTCTCTGGCGACAGAGGCTTTAGAGTCTTGTCTCCCAGCCGAAGCTTCTGGGTCTGACCAGTGGGCCCCCTTTCTTCCGGCTTCTACGGCTGCTCCGTCCCTGTCTTGTGAGGTCGGTGCTTGGAGAGAGGACTCGGCCCCGGGTCCTGCTGTGAAGGACCTCGGGGCTGGGGAGGAGCTGACTTGGGAGGCTTGGGGCCCTGCTGGACCCCGCCTGGGTTTTTCTTCCCTCTGAGCCGGGCTTGTTGTTATAAGGAGTGGGGTTTTCTTTTCCCCCCTTTGCATTCAAGTTGGATTTGGTGTCGGCCCCTCCCCGGGTTCGGTTCCGTGTTTCCCCGAGTGCGTCAGTTCCGTCTTTCCGGAGGTTTTCGGCTTATCGCATCTAACCTGGTGTGGTGCGGGCAGCCCTTGCAGCGTACGTCCTGCGTGACCCAGATTATGCCTCGGAAATGGATCCATCCGAATTCAGGTTTGGGACTTCGTTCCCTTTTTGGTTCCGTTACGAGGTTCTGGAGTCTTCTTGGCTAGCGGACTGCCCCTTGTTTGTTCTGGATTCATGGAATTCCTTCTGTCGTTCCTGCATGCTGGAGTGGCGGGAAGCTTCCACGGTGATTCACGTTTTCCCGGGGGGCGATCTTGAGTACCTGAATGAGGGTTTGTTGGCCCCTGCCCTTCTCCGCGATGTGGGTGTTGTTCAGCTCCATGTGCAGGTTCCCTCCCTTTCGGCGGCACTCGTGGCGGAGGACTTGCACGCCCGGGGCCTTTTGGCTTCGGCCTTGCATTTTTTTTTTTTTTTCTTCCTGGATCTGTCCTCGGATTGGCTCATGGTGGATGTGAGGACGCTTGGGTTCGTCCCGGGGTCCGGCGCCTTGTCCTCGGCTGCGCGTTCGTCGGCTGCCTTGTTGAAGCATTTCGCGCGAATATTGTGGGATACGACTTCCCTGCTTTATGCTTCCTTTCTCGCGTGTCGGCAGGCCGTGCTGGGGTTCCTCCGTGGAATCTGCTTGGGCTGTGGCTCTTAGGCTGTTGTCGCCTTTTTGTCGTCTTCTGTTTGAGGAATCAGCCGTGGCGCAGTTTATCCAGGCTGCGTCGTCTGCTTGTCGTCCGATGTCGGTCTTGTTGGTTTTCCAGGGGTCCCATGGTGAGTCTTCCCGGAAAGGTCGTACCACGGCTTGGGATTCCTCTTGTCGTGGTAGGCCACTGGTGTCGGGTTCGGGTTCGCCTGATCCGGTCGATGGCAGACATAGAATGCTTCCAATTACACGGGGGTTTCTATAGGCCATTGCTTCCCTTGCCTCTAGAGGGGACCAGGTTCTGGCTCGTGGTCCCCAGTAGGCCCATAAGAACTCCATACACATGACTGATGCCAAAGTCTGACATTAGCATATCAGCCTAGTAAGCTCTGGGTAGCCTCCAGGACTCGCCAAGAAAATGGTGTTCATTACATTCAACGCTGGTTTTTTTAGTCATTCTCTGTAAAACAAAAGTGTATTATTGTATTAAAAGTAGGTATTAATTTCACTTCTGATAATCTATTATGCACCTGAAAAGGTTCAGTTTCATGTGTTTGTTTTAATAAGGTGTAGAGATTAGCAGCAAATTCCAATAATAGTTTAACAAACTCTGTTTCAGGTATCAACCAATAGACATTTTCAAGACTCTGATTACCAAGCTTGCACCAGAAGTATTTAAATGTATGTTCACTGGCTGTATATACGCTGATGATGACCCCGATTTATTTCTTCAGCACATCTCATTACATGGCCAGAGCTCTAGGTGAGTAATAAGAGAGTTTTCCTTTCTGTGCCAAAGGTGATATTGCATATATGCATAAGTCTTGTACGACCATATGATTATACTATGTTCTTAAAACCTTATAGAAGAGTTGCTAATTCGAGCTTAGTTGTTTATGAAGGGAGATATAGAGAGCATACTCTGTAACTGACCATCCTCATGACTAATTTTGAATATTGCACTACGGTCTCTTGCATGTTTTCAGACCACTTTACCCATCAAAGATTAAGATTTCCTCTATCTACAGTGCATCTTGTTCTTGGTAAATTAAATTGAAATGAGAGCAAATTTGTAAGGAGTGTGAATGAATTGCTATGCTTAACCCTTATAGGGAGCTGTCTTCCCTCCTCTTATTTTCTACCTTCCAGTACAACCTATTGAGTGGAACTGTCTAAAGCATTTCTTAGGTCTAGATATCTATAGTCAACCCAACCATTTCTTTCCTATATGATCTTTGTGACTCAGTTGTAAAAGATAAGAGGATTTATTTCACAGGGCCTTCCTATTCAATGGGCACATTCTGTCCATAATATGTCATTGTTTCTAGATATTCTACACATTTAGTTTTAACTAATTTTCTCTGATTTTACTTTAATTGTCCATGATACAGGTCTATAAGTTAGTGTCCTCTCTGTTTCCATTTGTATATATATTGTAACTCTTTCTATGGGGGAGCCCTGTCGGCTCGTTAAAGCTATCCATACTGATAGTGCTATATTAGTTGGGGTCATCAATCAGAGTTCTTGTTGCCTACCGGAAACCAGAGCCAGAACCTGGGGCCAGATTCACGAAGCTGATACACAAGCACTTACAAACCTGTACATCTTTTCTAAATCTTTGGCAGCTTTGTTTACAATTATTAAACAGTTAATGAGCTTAGAAGCACAGGAGGCTGTTTATAACAATAACAACAGTTGATTGGGAAGTTTTCATGCTTGTAAACAGATTAATAAATGTAACCAAAGCCAGAGTTTAACCAGAGGTCAAAGATTGAGGAAAGACGTACACGTTCTTATGTGCTTGCGTAACTGCTTCGTGAATCTGACCCCTGGCTCCCTCAGAAAGGCGCAGAAAGAAATGGCTTGCGAGCACTTTACATTTAAAGTATGTCATATTTTGCGTCTACAGAGAAAGGCACCCAGGGAGGTAGGCAAATCAAAACAGACCACTGTCTGTTGGTAAGGGTTGGGGGGGGGGAAAGATAAGCGCTTACAAACTCCTTACCGTACGAGGTAAGCACTGAAAGCCTCCAGAACCTCCGGAGGTGAATGCCAACAGGAAGAAAACCTCCAAAGGACAAATCCGTGGAACCCAAAGGCCCCCGGAAACAAACACGGGGAGGGGGGGAACCCCACCCAATACATATATAAAGGGAAGGAGAGTACAGAAAACCCCACACCTGCAGAAGAAGCCCCTGCGCAGAAGGCACAAGGGGCCCAAGCAGGGTTAAGAGTCCAAGAGCTCCATGCGGACCTGCGGACCCCCCAGAGACCTGGAAACCATCGACAAAGGTTCCGGGGTAGAGCCCTCATCCACATCCACCATCTCAGATGGAAAGGTGGAGTCCAGGGGGAAAGGCAACGAAGAAGGGAATCTGCTGGGTTGACTCGGAAGTCTCAGCAGGAAAGAGGGGCTCGACACTTCTGTGCCCTTATCGGAAGGGGCAGCCCCCTAAGCCACCCAAGCCTCACCCCAAGCCTCACCCCACCCCGACTCCAAAACCCTCAAACATTAGGGAGCTGAAAGCAACAGGGGGGGGGGGGGTTGTGCAGGGCAACCCCCCCCTCCTCAAAGGAAGAGGTGGTGTGGACTGAACCAAGGCCGAAACAAACAATGCCCCCAAACCCACAAGCGAGGCAGCTCCTGGCCCTCCAACTGGGCCGGTGCAATAAAGAGAACCAATCATACCAACCTGTCCTCTTAAAAATAACGTCACTTTTGGCCGTTTGCCCATATGGACGTAATTTGAAAATGAAAAAAAAATGAAAATAAATTTGGGATTTTTTTTCAGCAACAGTAAGTTAAGGGTCCTCTGATAGGTTAGGTGGGCAGGAAATTCTCATAAAGTTTCAAAACGGTATGAAAAACGTTAATGGAAAGTTGCCTCTTCAAAGCTTGCCGAGTAAGCCGGATGACTCAAACAGAAAACAAAACAGTATGTCACTTTTGTGAGTCAATTTCATTTCAAATTACATCCAAAATTGGCCATAGCGCGCATACGAGCAAAAAGTGACGTCATATTTAAGAGGACGGGTTGATCATACAACGTGCCCGCTGCCTGATCCCTGAGATCATCGGATAAGGGATGAGTAAAATGGGGCACAAGCAGAGAACTGGTCCTGCAAGACTCTGGGTCGTAGGTGTCTCTGACCCAACAGGCAGCATGACGGAGGCAATACAGATGATCCTGAGGCAGGGGCAACAAACAACCATCAATTTTGAACAAGATGAGAGTGGACTCGGAAGAAGTATCCATGGTACGAATGAGCTCACAGGCATTTTCCAGGGCTTGTATAGTGAATAAGCCCTACGGGAAGCCCAAGCACTGGGGCCAGCTAAGCTGGTAAACCCTGTCTGTAGCAGGCAAACTGACTGCAAGTAGCCGTTGTGAAACCTCCGGGACAACAGAGGATGACCACCACCACGACCTAAGCTAAGCAAAATAGCAAGTTCTCTTGCTATTTTGAGGCCTTAGCTCACAATTCTCAACCAGACAATGGTCTGTTTTGATTCACCTACCTTTCTGGGTGCCTTCCTCTATAGGTTGCAAAATATGACATACTCTAAATGTAAAGTGCTCAGAGGCCATTGCTCTCTGCACCTCTCTGAGGGGGCTAGGTTCTGGCTCTGGTTCCCAGTAGGCAACAAGAACTCTGCGACTGATGGTCCCAACTAATATAACACTATATCAGTATGGATAGCTTCAGGTAGCCTCCGATGCTCACCCAGAAACTGGCATTTCATCCAGCGCTGGTTGTTTACCTTTGTCGTATGTCTGTACCACTTGTCCTCTTAAAAAGAACATCTGATTTCAATCGTATGCATCACATAAGGTCAAACATTGTCATACTAGAAAATGGAAGCGGCTCGCAAAAGTGACTTACTGTCTTGTTTTCCGTTTTGGGTCCTCTGGTAGGTTAGGAGGGAATGCTTTAATTTGACTGTTTTTTCTTGATGTTGGGAAACCTTAGGAGGACTGGCTGGTTTGTGAGGTTCTGTGTTTGTAAGGATGCTTGGAAGAATAGTAGTAGGGTGAGACTCCATTTGGCCTGCCTGCTTTGCTTCTGTCTAGTATGTGTGTATTTTTGTTTAGTTTAGCTCAGTTCAGTTCATTTATTTTTCATCCCATTTCCATCTTGTGAGTGGCAGTAGAAATGGCTACTGAGGTTCACAATTGACCTTTTCAGGAATTGAACCCAAAATTTGTTTAGTTAAGCTAATTCCATAATTTAACATAAGTATATATAGAGAGAGTGTGAGGGAGTGTGCAAAATGAGATACATATTTAATAATAATAATACTTTCTTCAATTCATTAGTACCTCTCATGGCCAGCATTTTGTTGTGTACAAGAAAAAATGTAGAGGATGTGCATGTCTGTATTTTAAGCAAATGTACAGTTTTTAACTGTTACATGGTTTGTTTCGTAAGCTCAACTGTTACAAGCATTATTGAAATAACTAGTAAATGTAATAATGTATTCAGAATTTGTAATGTTGTTATTTTTCTTGCAGATGCTGCTACTGCCTGATGGTAATGCCCACTCCAGGAACATTAGTTCAACACATTATTACAGAACACAGCCACTGCCAGTTCCAGTGCAAATATTGCCTTTACAGAGCTTATACCAAGATTTACATGGGGGTACATTTGGTAAGGCAATTTTTTTTCTCTTCCATAATAGACAGTTTAAATTACATCTTATTAAATCTTAATAAATGTAATACCTTGCTTATATGAATTTTTCACTACTGTACAGTACAAAGTAAAAGTTAATCTTTTTATTTAATTAAAATAAATTGGCTTGTATTATTTATGACTAAAATATTCATTAAATTTCCATTGACAAAATTGTTTTATGTTTATCTGTTACATTTGTAAACTGCTGAATAGTTTGATTATTATTTTGTTAATAAATGCCATTCTAAAAAACATTTTTACTACAAGAGACTAGTAGATATATTGCAATCATTTTTACAGAAAAACTTTCATCCATATGAGGAACCACGTTACATCAAAGTTGGAACTATCCAGGAACATCACCCTCCAAATCCTCCTATCGATCAGTTTGTTCGACCGTACAGATGCAACTATCGTAAGTTTTATTGTTCTCTGGTGGTGTTTTGAAGTTGCATATAATTATCATGTATAATGTATGGCTTAGAGGTACATATAAATGTCATATTTATATTGTATGGATTTAAAAAAATATAAAAAACTTTAATTTGAGGTGCATATAATAATAATGTATTTTATACGAATCATTTGATCTTTAAACATACATTATTAACTTTGTGAGTACAATACTCATGTTAATATTTATAACCATATTTCACTACTAATAGTGTATCAGTTTTCCTGGTAGGCATTCTTGGCTTTGTTAAGTATCTCCAGTAGGGACTCCTTTTAATTATATCAAGTGTGCTTTTTCTTATTAGCTTTGTTTTTCACTACAGTATATGGATTTTGTTTCATAGTATTAACTTAAAACTTTAAAAGCTAAAGAATGAACAAAAAAGTATGGCTGTTATTGAAATTAAGCAATATAACCACTCCTTTTGTTCATTTGTTTGTATGATATATTCTGAAAGATTCATCGTATTGACTTTAAATCTTCAGTGTGGTAATCGCTTACTAATTCAGATCATGGAGTCGATTCCATCTGAGTTATGCTGAGATCCAAGTTACCTGAAGTTACAGTGCATGGAAAAAAAAAAAGTGAAATTTTTTATACCTCAACAAATTTAAATCACGTTTGTAATATATTAATAGTATCAGAAATGTTAACTTGGCAAAGTTCAAAACTATCTTGATCACCCTCCGCTTGGAATACTGTTTTGTACTTTACAGAAATGTCATGCATGCACATTTGAACTGAAGATCTTTAATAATGTGTAAATATTATATGAAACCTAACAAAATATATCTATTAGTAGCCTTTTCAATCTAACTTAGCCCTAAAATTACTGGACAAGGGCTTTACAAACTCAGTTTTGACTGCCAGATGCTGAGGTTTTGCTAAATGAAGGTCTTTGGCAATCATAACTTGTCAAATGTATAACTTTTGGTCCATCCCATTCTTTCATTTTCAGTCCTTGATGAACAGCTCTTTGTCCTGCCTATTGTATGGACATAAGCTTTTAAATCTAGATTTGTAGTGTTGAAAGAATAATCAAATGATCTATGTTTGCCATAAAGGAATGTTATATTTGCAGTATACAAAGTAGTTCCCTCCTCCCCATTTTCCAAATCACCACTTTGAGAGAGAGATATCAAATAATATATACATGGAAAATACTGGAGGGCCAGGTCCCAAATCTACACGGTAAAATAACAATATACTGGAGTGAATGATATGGAAGAAAATGCAAGATTGAACCAGTGAAGAGCAGAGGTGCCATAGGCACAATCAGAGAACACTGAATGAACATCAGAGGTCCACGGTTGTTCAACATATTCCCAGCGAGTATAAGAAATATTGCTGGAACAGCCATGGACATCTTCAAGAGAAAACTAAGTACAGTACTTTTCTTCATGAAGTGCTGGACTAACCGGGCTGTGGTGGATATGTGGGCCTGCGGGCCACTCCAAGCAACAGCCTGTTGGACCAAGCTCTCACAAATGAAGCCTGGTCTCGGGCCGGGCTTGGGGAATAGAAGAACTCCCAGAACCCCATCCAGGTACAACCCAGGTACCACTGATTTTATGTGATGAGTGTACTGTTTACTATTTGTAGAGTTTAGCATAGAAAACCTTACTCACTGATTCTAATGTCTTGTTTAATCTTAAGTGAATTATGTTTTAATTAAAATAATTGTTCATGGACACAGGTGAATGCCAGTACCGCACAGTGGATGCCGAGGCCTTCAAGACCCATGTTAATATGCATGGTCATTTTGTTATCATCAGCTGTGACTTCTGCCATGTGCATCTACACGTTATTCCTCTTATTGATGTAAGTTACAGTGATTTTTCTTTAAAATCTTTACACACAAAGTGTGTGTGTGTGTAATTACCTAAGTGTAGTTAAAGGATGAGAGCTACAGTCGTGGTGTCCCGTCTTCCTAGTACTCTTTGTCGTATGACTCTTTGAAACTACTGATGGAAAATATCCTTGTCTAGAATATTCGCCAGATATCTTCATTACCTGCAAGTGTTAAAGGGATGTATATTTCATCTTAAGGTTCCATGTGCTGCTTTGCCTCTTAAGTGAAGCAGCAACTATTTGCTCTGGTAAATAAAAAATTTCTTAACTAACATGTGTGATGGGGAGAGTAGAATGTTGTCCTGGAAAGGATTCCATCTCCGTAGTAAGAGGGCTCTGGTTGTAACAGAACATTTATGAAGTACTGCCGGGAGAGTGAATCCATGTACAGTATTTGCTAGATCAGAATTTATTTGCAAAAAATTTATGAAATATATTTTAAAATATACTTGTTCTTGGCATGTTTTGCATCAAAATGTATGCGTGTGTGTGTGCTGCCAAATACTACTATCTACTTGAGTAATTTTTTTATACTGATAAGAAATTAACTTATAAATGAAATTACTGTTCAAACGTTTACATAGCTGTAACAAGACAATTCTTATTTAACCACTGTGATGTGCTTCGCGTATTGGAACATTTTCCTTGTGCGCCAAAAATCAATTGTTTGCAAAAAAAAATTTTGTATTTGTAAAATGATAAATTTCCTTCCCTGAACACATACATGTAAACAAAAAATTAAAAAATTCCACTTACTATAACTGTGGGGACGTGGAAAAGGGGCGTGTGACGTCATCATTGGCTGTGAGCCCATGCGTGAAGCTCCCAGAGGCGGTCGTGCGGGCCATTCAAGCACTGCGAGTTGCCACAAATATACTTGCATTTATTTGTTGTATGTATTTCCAATGCATTTTCTGGGGGGAGAGCCCCTTCGGCTCCCCGTAGCTTATCCAGGCTGATATGCTAATGTCAGACTTTGGCATCAGTCATGTGTATGGAGTTCTATGGGCCTACCGGGGACCGAGCCAGAACCTGGCCCCTTCAGAGAGGCAAGGGGAGCAGTGGCCTATAGGAACCCCCGTGTGGTTAAAAGCATTCTATATCTGCGATCGACCTGGTCGGGCACCCAGAAAGGTAAGCGTTACAAAACAAACCCCTATTCTGGTGAAAATTGCTGCCACAAGCTGAACAGGTGGATAGAACTCCCTGAAAGAAACAAGCAAATGACCATGATGTCACCGGAAGAAGGAAGAATATTCAGTACACAGGTGACACCGAGCAAGAATGAAGGTAGAACCCCCCACCAAGCAGATAAACAAAAAGAAAAAGAAAACCCCGCAAGAGGACAGCGTATCCAGGCGGAAGAGAGCCGGCTGCCATAATTGGTGAAAACAAGCTGCGCAGCACCCTGCGCCCCACCAGTGCAAAACTGCCCCTAACCTTAAAGCGAACAAGAAAGACAGAACAACCGAGCACACAAAGGGCGGCCGAAAACCAAGTAGTAAACGGCCTAGCAGAGGCAGAACCCAAGGAACTTAAAGAAGGTGGCCCCAAGCCCCAAAGGCAGTACTTATAGGGCATCTAGGGAAGGAAACCCTAGGCACATGCAGCCCGAGTACTGGAGAATCACTCCCGGCTCACACACCACCTAGAAGACAGTCACCACACTCTAGGTACAGTGTGCTGAAACAACCACTGGAGCCAGAGCACATGACCTCGGCCTTCAGCATCAGCCACAGAACTGATGGTGGATAGCCAGCGCGGTAGGTCTGGGGCTCCCCCCTTCCTCCTCCTGGGGAGGGGGGAGCTGCGCAGACAGCGGAGCGGCGACTTGTGACGTCATGATCGTTTGCTCGCTTCTTTTAGGGGAGTTCTAACCACCTGTTCGGCTTGTGGTAGCAATTTTCACCAGAATAGGGGTTTGTTTTGGAACGCTTACCTTTCTGGGTGCCTGACCAGGTCGATGGCAGACATAGAATGCTTCTAACCACACGGGGGTTTCTATAAGCCATTGCTCCCCTTGGCTCTCTGAGAGGGCCAGGTTCTGCCTCGTGGTCCCCGGTAGGCATGACCATTACGTTTTCTTCGGACGGGATGTCTTTGTCATGTTCCCCTCTTCTTGGGTGTTCTACAGGACTTTTGGTCTCGGGTGCGACTGCTTTTATGTGCTTTCGTGACTTGTTATTGCTTCTGTGTTCTTGAGGGTTCGGGAAGGTTTTCACTACTTCCTGTATTATTGGAACGTCTGTCATCTTTCGGTGTGGCTTCCCTCCGGTCCTTTCTACGACTTGTTGGTCCTTTTCTGTGCTTATTCTTGGTTTTCGGTTCTGTCTCGTTCTTTGGTGCGGTTTTTTGTCTTGGCGCTGCTCGTTTTCTTTCCATATTCCTAGTCAGGGACACCGGATTGGGCTACTTGTATCCCAATTGGGTTCCCGATTGGGTTCCTTGTCTTCATTTCGTAAGCTGGTTATGTTGTCGCTGCTTACTCCTCTTTTGGCTCCTGTCCCATGTGATGGGCTGCTTCTTCTGTTTAGCGGTTCCCTCGGGTCACATACTGTTTGGTTACTTTTCTTTTAAAGTAGTCCTAGTTGGCGCCTTCCTGCAGAGCGGGTTGTGCGGTTCGGAAAGCGTGTCCTGCGCATGCGCCGTGGGAGTTTGTTTTGGTGTGGGCGGTGTGCACCAGTGCTGGTGTTTTGCGTCCTTTTTTCTTGAGTGCTTCGCCTCTCGCTCTTCTCCATTCTCCGGTCCGTGCCCTGTAGCTGCTGGGGTGTTCTGGATTGCAGCTATGGGGTGGACGCCGGGGTTTTCCCTGTGTTACGGGTGTGGGGCGCCTCTTTTGCGTCTACCCTGCTTTCCTGTGTGTGCGACTCTGGCCTTCTTTCCCTGGCGGTGCTCCCGTGATCTTCTCGGCAACATTGTGTTGATACGTTCGTGCCTACGTTTAACAAGTTGAGTTTCTGCGGTCTGGCGTCTCTTTCGGCCAGTCCCTGGATACGAATATATTTATATAATTATATAAATATATTTATAGTGTGTAAAAACTGTACATATTATAGTGTATAATTACACTTAGGTAATTACACTGTATTACACACTCAGTACTTCAGAACTGAGTGATAATCAATGAAGCAGTCCATGGTACTCATTGCCAATTTTGCTCTCGCTGCACCAGGTACAGTCAGATTTTTGCTTCCTGTTTCTTCGTTCTGTGTGCTTGCTAACAACACACGTACACCTTTGGCTTTAGGTGGCTACGTACACCTGTAGGTGGTATGTAGCCAAGCTTTTGAAGTGTAAGGTAGTCTTGAAAAGATTATAGGAAAAGATCAGTTTGTAAGGTAGTCTTGAAAAGATCGCTTAGTAGGGTATTCTGGAAGAGATTCAGGTATTCTGGAAGAGATTCACTCATTCTGGAAGAGATTCAGCTATTCTTGACAAGATCTGTGGAAAACACCACCAATGGAAGCGGCTAACACTGTTCGTCTATGCTACTTGTTTCAGAGGCATCAATGAACCCAGAAAACAATTCATCTTTGTATCTATAAAAATTGGAGATAACACGGTGTGAGCATGGGTGGTGCTCAGCTACTACTGGATAAGCTCGCTGTATCGTCCTCATCGGTGCTGTATCACTAGCATCAGACTCGTGTGTTAGGTTCTTATTGTGCCTAGCTTCATCGGTATCATGACCCCTTATGTTCTTCAGACAGTAAGGTCTGAATTTCACTGATGAAGAGCAATCTTTCAACACAACATCGGACAGGTGTTTGGGAGCCAGAGGCGCGTACACCACCCATGGTTGCTCACTCAGAACTGAGTCAGCCAGCAGTCCCTAGGCAATTCTGGGAATTTTTCCATGATGGCTGCCTCTCACTGGAGGTCCGCAGAGTCCCATTTTGAATGGATACAAAATATTAAAAAGGTGTTTTCTCGGCTCGCGCAGTTTCCCACCGACCCAGTTTTCTTGGCCGGCACAGTCCAGTGGTTAATGTAATATTGTTTTCATGTTGCATTTTATTTAATTATTTTATTTACAAATAGTTATGATCATTTTGCAGCATATGCGTGAGCATCAAATGAATGAATATCAGTGTCCATACTGCCTTCACGGTGATGCAGAGAAGGAACGTCTCCTTAGCCACCTGCTTAACTGTCACCCAGGACGTCCAGGAAAAGTGTTACTGCGCAAGCAGATTACCTCTGCTGTTACTGGTGCAGTTTCTAATACCTCGGACATCAACCCAAGACCACCACCACCACCAAATGGGGGTCCGAAACCAGAAAGAAGGGTCACTCCCAAGCCAGAAAGAAAGTCTGGTGAAAAAAAGGCTGAGGATATAATTAATTCTTCAGGTTCACCTGTAACTGGAAGTGAAGGCTCTCAGGTTCGGGTATTTTTCTTTTAGTTTCTAATACATTACTTAGATGTGTTCTAGATCTAGAACACACAGAATTCACAATGTGATATATCAAATGAACAAATCCACAATGGTCTTGATGAGGGTTCGAACCTATGTGCCGATTGTTCCTAGACGCGCCTTAGTCAACTGTACCACGACATGGTCAATGGAATTGCAACCTGGGGGTGCTACTGCCCCTCACGAGGATCCCGAGGTTTCGCACAATCCCCCCATGCACTTGGGCTCTGTCAACCAAAAGTTTTACCTCTATTTGAACTTAATGACTTACTTGGATGTGTACTTCAGTACACACACAAGTCACAATAGTGTGATATATCAAGCATAATATCACATGATATGTCAAATATCAGAGGTAGAATTATTTGGGTGACAGAGCCCAAGTGCATGGGGGAATTGTGTGAAACCCCTGTTATGCTTCAGAAGAAGCCTCAGACTCCTCATGAGGGCAATAGCACTCCAGGTTGAAATTCTTTTAACAATGTCATGGTACATTTGACTAAGGCTCAAACCCCCATTAAGACCCCTTGTGGATTTGTACATTACATAGTTCTTCTTAGTTCCTTATTTGTTTTATCAGTTTTAATTCCTTGACCTTTATGTTTAGCTGTGAAGAGTTCTGGAAATACTGATATGAAGGAAAATTGCATTGATGTTTTAAGCATTGTTTGTAAAAGTACAGTGGGGCCTCGACTTACGAATTTAATCCGTTCCCAGAGACGGGTCGTAGGTCGAAACAAATTTTCCCATAAGAAATAATGTAAATTTTGTAAAAAATAAATAATGTAAATAATGTAAAAAATACATTTTACACCGAATAACACTCATTTTGTACTAGCTACAATACAGTACTGTATGTATATCTTACTATCAATGAGGACTCATGTTGATGTATGGAAGACAGTGAGTAGGAGAGGTGTTAGTGTTTGGAGGAGAAGTCCAAAAAAGTCCAAGTTTGTTGAAAAAACTCACCCAGATAAAGCTGTGGCAGGCCATTGCATTGACCTTTTCGTATGATTATGTGATGTCTGACTACAGACAAGTGTTAAAATGTAGGAAAAAACAAGTGTCTTTAGACAGATTCCTAGTAAGACAAGCAAGCAGTGAGCCACAACCAGGTCCTAGTGGTATGCCTGCAAAACATAGGAGAGAGAGTACCCCAGAGAAGTCATCACTGCCTGATGTTATAATGGAAGGGAACTTCCCTTCCAAACACTTACACCACCACTCCTCCCCTCCCCCCCTCCTCACCATCTTCCATACACCAACAAGAGTTATCAATAAAGGTAAGCTATAACTTGTACATACTATAGTACAAAATATGTGTTTATTATGTATGAAATGTATTTTGAAGTTAATATTTTTGGAAGTGTGAAACAAATTAATTCAATTTACATTATTTCTTATGGGAAATTCGTTTCGAGTTACGACCAGACTCGGGGAACGCATTAAATTCATAAATGGAGGTACTACTGTATAGTAATTCTTATCTGAGAGCACTTGCTGTTTCCAGCTAGTTGTGAGCTATCCTTCCTGGTTACACTCTTAAGCCAAGACTCGACTCATTCGGTAAGGATCTGCCGCAGTCATGGCAGGTTGGCTTTCAACACTAATGTAATAGGGGAACTTTTCTATTCGTTCGTAAAAAATAATCCAAAATATTTTTTCAGGCATGCGAAATCAAAATATAAAACCTATCCAGTATTGAAACTGTACTTACAAGTGAAGGTTTATACATAGAGAACGACAATGAAATTAGTGAAATCCTAAAAGATTTCAACATGATTTCAAAAGATAACAAAAGATCCAATATGAAGCTGGGTTTATCACCTCGATAAACAACATGAAAGTGGAAGATCAGGACACCCCCCCCCCCCCTTTATAAACAATATTAATCTTCCCCCCCTCTCCCCAACAATATAATTAATATTAACACTAACACAGCAGACTTTGAAAGATAAAATGATATGCCCATGTACTTAGCCCTAGGACCAAAATCCAGGAATTTCATATTTATAAGGAAATGTAAAGTTCCAGTATCATGAATGGGCAGTGTTGTTTGGAGGAAAAAGCTTGGATACAGGATAGATATCCAAAGCACTTAAATCAGATATTGTCCACTACAAAAGAGAGGGAGCAAAACATTGGCTAAAAATTAGACTAATTGCAAAAAGATCGTACATAATAAATTTTTGAAAGAGTGATTTAGAGTCAGATCTCCTGTTTCATTGGGAAGATCTCCACAACCCAAGTCAATGTGGATATAAATTGGGAAGATCAACCGTTACTTAATTACTAAGAAAAAAATCACGGAAGCATTAGAAGAAAAACAAGATGCAGATCCTTTACACATGGACTTTGCAAAGGCATTTGATAAATGTTGATCACTGAGTGATAGCCCATAAAGTGAGATCAATTGTGATAACAGGTAGAGTAGGGCAATGGATATTCAATTGCTGTCAAACAGAATGGAAAGAATAAGTTAATTGAGCAAAATCAAGTACAAGCACAGTAAAAAGCTTTATACCCAACCTTGAGGTTACCTTGAGATGATTTCCAGGCTTAGCGTCCCTGTGGCTCATTCCTCGACCAGGCCCTGTTGCTGGACTGGTGATCCAGGCTGTTGGATGCGGCTGCTCACAGCCTGACATATGAGTCGCAACCTGGTCAATCAGGTATTCTTTGGAGGTGCCTATCAAGTTCTCTTGATCACTGTGAGGGGTCGGCCAGTTATGCCTCTTATGTGTAGTAGAAGCTTGTTGAACAGTCTCGGGCTTCTGATGTTGATAGTTCTCTGAGTACCTGTTGCACCTCTGTTTTTCAATGGGGGTATTCTGCACATCCTGCCATGCCTTCTGGTTTCATGTGGTGTTATTTCTGTGTGCAGAAATAAATGATAAATTTCTACTGATACAAACTGTGCCCTAGGGCACAGTCCTTGCACGATAGTATTCAGTAAGTCAACATATAAATAAGATGAGCAACAGTAATAAATTCCAGGTACTTTGATATGGAAAAAATTAAGAAGTTAAGTGAAATACAGGGAACAAGACAGTTAGATCTCCTCATAGTAGGAAAACAGTATGTACAAAATCTGGGAATAATTGTGTCTGATGACCTATTGTTTAGGGAGCATGTTAAATGTGCAACATTTAACCCTTTCCATTTTCTAGTTTACAGCATTATGTAAATATTGTATCAGCCAGGAAAATAATAAGATGGATTCTGAGAACCTTCAAATCCATGTATCCCATCACAATGCTCATACTATTCAAATCCCTTATGCTGTCCTTCCTTGAGCAGGAGAGATTGCTGAAACAAAGGGAATACAGCAGACATATACAGTACTACTTGCATAGATATGGTAAAGAACCTAAATTATTAGGATTGTCTCAAATTTCTCAAAATGTGCTCAGGAAAGGAGACAAGGAAAGCATCACATAATATCTACCTGAAAAATACTGGAAGGTCAGATCCCAAATTTACCCTAAAACAACAACATACTAGAGTGAACAATATGATATGAAATGCAGAATGGGACCAGGGGAGAGTAGAGGTGCCATAGGCACAATCAGAACATCAGAGATCTACAGCTATTCATATCCTTGCAGCAGGCATAAGAAATATTACCAGAACAAAAGTAGACTCCTTCAGGAAAAAATTTGTAAGTTCCTGCAAGAAGTACCGAACCAACTAGGTTGTAGTGGATATGTGGTCTTGCGGGCCACTCCAAGTAACAAGCCGCCTTTTGAATCCAGTTATCACAAGTTAAGTCTGGCCCTGGGCCAGGCTTGAGGAGTAGAACAACTCCCAGAACCCACTCTTGATAAACTCCAGGGTCTCATACTGGTGCTGGCAAAATCATTCAGTCCAGCCAGAATGTAGACAAAAATGTTTTTTTCCAAGATTCAAATTGGCATTGCATACACCTCCAGCTTACATAATTATCCATTAGGTTGCTGCTACTGATTACCACCAGATGACAGTGCCAATACTAAAACAAAACACTCCACATAAACTCGCACATTTCATATTCATTATATCAATAACAGAATAAATTCTATTTTCCAGGCTGCACTAAACATTGAAGGAAGAAGGATGTCCAGAAGTTTGTCACGAGAGTTGGACAGTAAGTTGCAAGATTCTGGGAAAAATTGTCGTGGTGAGTCCATATCACACAATTTCATAAATGAGACTCTGTTGAAATGTATTTTTACTTGGGCATTTCATTGAATATTTAGATTGCATCTAATTTACATAATATTGGTTACAACTATTGTTGCAACTGATATGTTGGTCACCATCAGATATGGGACTATATACGCCTAAGTCTTATAAATTTGGGCTTCATGTGTTCGTATGTAACACCTTCATAAATACAAATACTTGTTTACCTACTTGAGCCCTACCTCTTGCCTAGTTTTTGACTGGTGCAACTATTCCCCATCAATATACAGTGCCTTGTCATGTTTTCACGTGAACTTGTGATACGAGGCCCGTATTGCCTTCAGCTGCACCCCTGGGGTGCAGCTTTAGCGTGTTTGCTTGGTAGTTTTGGATGCTGGTTAGCAGTACCCTGCCTGGGGTTACCTGGGCGTGAGTCTCGTTAAGCGCTCAGGGCCCTGGGAAACCCCAGGGGGCACATAGGTTCGATGGATGTGACCCCGGAGTCCCCCTCTTCACTTCGTGCGAGTTTGAGGGTTGTTCGGTCCCCTTGTCTCAGAGTGACCCTCACTGTCTTTGCCTTCGTTACGCTGCCTGTTGGGTCGGTGACACTTTCGACCCTAACTCCTGTGAGTTCTGCTGCTTGCTAGTGACTCAATTTACCCAGTCTAGTGATGATCTTATGGAGGTACAGGCAGTATAGGCGTTGCATGCGCATTTTAGGTCGTTGCAATGCGCTTGGTTGGTTGCTCACCCGGATGCCCCGAGGCTGCCCCGTTTTGCTCATAGGGACCCGGACTTGGGGGTGGGGGTCACTTCGACCTTGGTTCAGACCAACCCCCTCGTCCTTCCCCTCCTGTCATTTGTTCTGGTCCCCTCCCTCTGCTTCCGGACCCGAAACCTCTGAGGGTTTCGGAGCTGGAGCAGGGTTTAAATGGTCTTGGGGGATGCCCCTTCCAGTGTGGTGACGGAGGCTTTCGAGTCTAGTCTCCCTGCCAAAGCCACTGGCTCGGGTTTGTTGTGGGGCATCAGGGTTACTGTTTTCGTTGTCTCCCATTCGGGTTGAATCTGACACCTCACGTGTTCACACGCCTTACATGGGTCATAGTGGCCCGTCTGCATCTCTTAGGTGTTCGGGATGTTGGCCTACCTCAGGAACTGGCTGGTTTGGGCTCCCAGCCGGTTCAGTTGTCTGCTAGTCAGGGATTTGGTTCTTTCCCAGTTCGCCGGGTTCAGGTTCTTGGTGAACTGGAGGAAGTCCCATTTGGTTCCCTCCCTGGTTCAGACATGTCTGGATCTTGTGTGGGACTCTCGGACCGCTTCCTTGTCTCTCCCTCCGGAGTCTATCCTGCAGCTGCGGTCCCACTTGCGCCTGTTTCTGGGGGCTCCCAGGTCACTCTGCTGTTGGTCAAGGGTCTGTGCGGGAGCCTGAACTTCGTGATGATGGTCTACCCGCCGGGTCAGGTTTGGCTACGTCGGCTGTTTTGATTTCTTCGGAGACGTTCTATGCCGCCTCTCTTGCGATCCCTGGGTTCGGACCCCGGAGGCCTTGCGATTGTTGCTGCGTCATCGGCTTCCTCTTCGGGTTTTTCGTGGTTCAGTGCCTTGGCGCTTACCCGAGCCCTCGCTCGATGTGTTCACAGATGCGTCGTCTCTCGGCTGGGCTTTGTGACCAGTGCTCACCAGGCCGGCCAGGGAAGGTGGGGTCTGTCCTTCCATCAAGGCCACAGCACGATGCGGGAGTTCGTGGCGGTGTGGTTTGCTCTTCGGAGGGTTCGGGTCGCCCGCGGATCAACGATTCGGCTCCATTCGGACTGCTCCCCGGTGGTTCTTTGTCTGAACTGGGGGGTTCAATGAGGTCCTTGGCTCTTTGGCGCTGTTCGCCTTGGGTGACTCGTCTGCTGAGTTCTCGGGGTTTCTCTCTCCTGGTAGTTCACGTGCAGAGAGTGTCCAACGTCTTGGCCGGCGGCCTATCCCGTTTTGTTTCCCCTCTCCACGGAATGGACGGTCGACGCCGACTCCTTCAGTTGGCTTTGCCGGACGTTCGTTCGCCCCGAGGTGGACCTCTTCGTGGTGTCTTCCCCTGTATGTGGCGCCCTTCATCAAAAGGCATTGACCCCAACTGCTAGGCCGTCGGGGTCGATGCCTTTTGGCAGTACTGGACGAGGTGGGGGTTCCTGTATCTATTTCCCCCGGTTCAGCTGTTGCTCCAGGTCCTGACTCGCTTGGAGACTTACCAGGGGAGAGTTGTCCCCTTGGCCCCGTGGTGGCCGGCCCAGCCATGGTTTCAGGCACTGCTTGCTCGGTGTCCAAACCCAGAGGTTTTTCCGCGGCTCCACCTTTTCCAGCAGATCGGACCGGAACGTCACGTGACTGGTTCGATTTTCTCCTCAAGTCTTCGCGTATGGTATTTTTTACTCAAGTTTATTATCATCTCTATGGTGATCAGGTAGCTTCCTTGTTAGTGTCCCACCTGTGGGTTTCGTCTTGGCAACAGTACGAAGTTTCCTGGCGGTCCTTCCGTTTCTTCCTGCGTCTTTGTCGTTGTACTTCGCTTTCTGTTAGGGTGGTGTTGTCCTTTCTCTCATGGTTGTTCCAGGACTGTCACCTCTTGCCTAACACTGTCACCTCGTATCATGCGGCACTGACAGAACCGCTTCAGCTTGCTTTCGGTATTGATGTTACTTCTGCACCGTTTCGCAAGCTGTCTCTGGAATGGGGTTTTCACCTCCGGCCTGCCCATGCGCCGCCTGAGCCGTCCTGGTCATTGGACAGAGTGCTCTCTTATCTTTCTTCTCCTCTGTTTGTTGTGGCCCCTTCGGTTCAGGATTGTTTCTCCAAGGCTCTTTTGTTTTCTGTTGGCATTGGCCTCTGTGGGATGGGTTGGGGAGCTTCATGCTCCTCCGGCGCAGGGGTTTATGCTCTTTCGGTCTTCGTGATGGTTTTATTCGTTTGCAGCCATCTCCTTCTTTTCTGGCGAAGAATGTGACTGCTGCTTTCTGGAGGGGTCCCTAGGTTGTGGATGCTTGGTTGGTTAGGCCGGGGGTGCATCATGTTTTGTGTCTGGTTGCTGTTCTTCGCCTTTATTTGCGTGCCACGGCTTCTGTGTCCGGGGACGAGCTTTGGGTTGATCCGGTTTCCCTTCTTCCCTGTTTGTGGGTGTGGGTCTCCCAGGTCGTCCACAGAGTTATTAAGGCTAGCCAGCCTGCAGTCTATCCCCGTGCTCATGACGTTCGTAAGTTCGCTGCTCTTGCTGCTGTCTTTGACAACATGTCCTTGGCTGACATTCGGGTACAGGGCTTTTGGCAGTTGATGGGCCTAGTCGTGCCTGTCACTTTGGATCGGGGGTTGCAAGCAGTTGTCTCAACTTCGAGTTGAGGAGTGAGCAGCAACCGCCTCCCGGGTAAGTCCCTAAGTTTTTCCTCTGTGGGTAGTTAGCTGCGGGGAGCCGAAGGGGTTCCCCCTAGAAAACCAGCATTGAATGTAATAAACGCAATTTTCTGGATGAGACCCGGAGACTCCCCGGCATCCCTCCCTCCAGTCGGCGGTTTTTTAGCATATTTTGACATCCAGCCTAAGAACTAAAGGGTGGATAGCCGGCCGAAGGGTCGCTCCCCCTTCCCCCCTCCCCTGGAAGGGGAAGCTGCGCAAACAGCGGCGCTGCGACGTGTGACGTCATGATTCATTGCTTGTTTCTTTTAGGGAAGTTCTATCCACTTGTTCGGCTTTTGGGAGCAATATTTTCACCAGAATAGGGGTTTGTTTTGGGATGCTTACATTTCTGGGTACCTGTTCCGGTCGATGGCAGACATAGAAGGCTTCCAACCACATGGGGGTTTCTATAGGCCATTGCTCCCCTTGCCTCTTCTGAGGGGGCCAGGTTCTGGCTCGTGGTCCCCGGTAGACCCATAGAACTCCATACACATAACTGATGCCAAAGTCTGACATTAGCATATCAGCCTAGTAAGCTCCAGGGAGCCTCCGGGACTCACCCAGAAAATGGCATTTCATTACATTCAACACTGGTTTTTTACTATTGTTATTATTATGGGTCCAGCTTAATCGCAATTATTTGGGGTTTCTTTTTAACACTATCACACTATTTGGGCACCCCTCGTGTCCACTTTTTTCCTCGTGTCCTAGCTTTGGACATTGCTCACGTCCAATACAAAAAATATTTGCATAAAATTCCTTTTCTATCCGATTGACTTCGGCATAGTTTCAAAATGAACGCCTTTAGAGTGTGCAAAATTTTATATCAACATGAAAGATGTAACTGAAAACTTGATGTCAGAACACTTGAAAGATTATAAATATGTTTTTGGTCAAAATTTTAAAATATTTGTTAAAATTCTATTTATTGTGCTATTATTAAAAATTACTAGTTTTAAAATACGTGCCTTTACATTGCAAACAATTCGATACTAAAATTAAAGATGTAACACGAAAATTGATCTCGGAACACTGGAAAGATATAAATAATTTTGTGATGATGAGCGTCCAAAATTTAAATATTTGTTAAAATTCCAGTTTTGCTCTATTATTATGAGACTAGTTTTAAGATACGCATCTTTATATTGCAAACAATTTGATACCAAAACAAGCGACGTAACATGAAAAATTTATGTTATCAGACTGAACGAGTATACACATTAGGTTGCGGGTGTGATAATTGGTTCTCGTTCACAGGTAACTTTAGGCTTTGCTAAGGGAGTCACGCTGGGCTTTTGGACAATATATGCATATACACCTGTAGGGAAATTAATTACAAACACATTGATACCAAAATGAACGACGTAGCACGAGAATTAAGGTGAGAAAACTGAAACAAGTATACACTTTATTGATTTTGTGCGCGCATGGGTAACTTTTCCCGATTTTAGGTTTTGCTGTGGGGAGTCAAGCTTGGCTTTTGGACCTTATATGCATATACACCTGTAGGCAATTCTATTGTGAATGCAATGATACTAAAACAAGTGACGTAGCACAAGAATTAAGGTGAGAAAACTGAAACGAGTATACACATTTAGTGTCGCCAAGCGCTCGCCTGCAATCTCGCCCACACCGCCAGGCCTACTTCGTGCATACGCTCGGGGTGCAATACTGTTAATTTTACAAGGATTTAGTTCCAGTACTGGATTTAGATCCAGTACTGACCTCAAATAGTGCATAATGTTCTGAATACATTCTTATTACTAATATCAGTTGGGAATTTGATCCATGGTGCATAGTGAAATGGAAATATTACATTTCTTGAAGAGATCACTAAAGTTATAATTTGTAATATAAACCCTCTTTCATATTTTGCTTTAATGATCTTTTTGTTGACTTAAAATGTTGTTCACTGTATATTTCATATTTAGATTCCCAGATTCATTTGCTAATCGTTGACATTTGTATAACTAAATAGTGTATTATCTTTAAATGTTTGCAATTATATCTTCACATTATATATTCCTTATTAGGGGATGAAGATGGGAGTAGCTGTGTTCGGAGCCAGATCATGGGAGGTGATGACAGTATGTCCTCACAAACTGCAGAGAAGACAGACTTAAGTGGTCATGCTTTAAATCGCTGTGGGAATGAGGGTTGTGAGTATTCCAGTTTATCTCAAGTGGAGCTGAGGGAGCATCTTCAAGTTTGTGATCTCGCACAAGATTCCACCATTCTTAAATGCTATCATTGTGGTAAACAGTGCCGACATTTAAGTACTCTCTTCGAACATCTCAGAGTACATGGACCAAAGAGATATTACTGTGGGGTTACAGGGTGTGATTATCGAGCAACAATGGTACATTACTTTAAAAACCATATGAAACAAATTCACCGGTGCTCTGGATTTAAACAACTCTTAAAAGATCCCAAGAATAAAGATCCAGAAACTCAAGAGTATGTAGTGTATCCTAAAGATGCTGTACCACTTATTAGGGAAGGACATAGAAAAAGGAAAAATGAATATGCTATTGAAGATATTCATCGCATACCACGTTCACATGTTTCATACCATGATTTAAAATGTTACTATTGTCAGTTTATAACAAAGGTGAGATTGAATTTAGTCAAACACATCAAGCTTCATGAAAAGCATCCTGACGGTATTCCCGAGAGATTACATATAATAGAGGGCAACCCCAGCCCCATTCCAGGAAAACAGCCTATAAATCCTGTGCCATGTTTAGACCGCAAAGAGCTAATGTTTGACAAAATGATGAACTTGGCTGGCAGTAGTTTTGAATGCAAAAAAAAGAAGGAAGATACAGATTTACGAACAAAGAACCCCATACCGCACGAAGAATATCTGAAGTTGCCAAAATTTGTTCCAGAAGAAAGACTTTATTCGTGTGGTATTGAGGGATGCAACTACCTATCTTGTGATGATATGATGCTAAAATATCACATTCGCACTCTTCATGCTGATGTCACATCCTTCCCCTGTCCACATTGTAAAAACCATTCAATAACTGTGGAGAAAATGAGTTCTCACTTCAAATTACATGGAGACAGACTATACAGGTAAAACATTAAACCGTATTATTGATATTTAATACAGTATTCTCAACCACGTTCTATCCAACAAGATTAGGACCTGCATTCGTTGGTTACGACTACCTTTCTATTGCACGATATATTTTCTCCCAAGTTCTGTAAGAAAGAATTTAAAATATTGTTCTCGTGCAAATAAATTTTGTAATCCCTCATAATTCCTTGCTGCACTCGTTGAAAGTGGTGCTAGAAGTGACATTTGAAGAGTTGGAGTTAAAATAATTATGCCACAAAGGAAACTAACCTGTCATCAGATTCTCATACTTTATATTTCCATTTCTGTATAATTTTTAAAGTATTTATTGTTTTCTCAATATAAACTATTTATATTTGTTTTATCCTTCATATTCAAACAACTTGGGTGGGTTATTTGTCAAATATACAGTATGATTTTTAGTGAAAAGGTTAGAGTGTGAGATGGGCCATGCTACCTCCTGTACATACTCTGCATGAGACATCTCCTGGCAGCCAAGCCACAATATGCTAGGTCTCATGCCCCAAGGTAATCAGTCTTATTATAGTTACATTTGGTCATAATGAAGTCATTCAGAAAGGTGCTATGGCTAGGTGGTGTTTGGATATGATGCGGTTGAGTATACACTACAGTAATTGTAAATATTCAAGTAGTGATTGATTTGCTCTTTAAATAATTATAATTATTTGATATTGTTGATATCATGGTTTTAATTTGTTAATTATTAATTGTAATTAATTGTTTATATATAGAATATTTGAACTTAATAAATTCTTGATTTGTTTAAACTAAGAAGCAAAATTTATATACTATATGTATAATATAAGAAATTTATAATTTCAGATGTGGCTGGTGTACTTATATAGCTTTTAAACGAAATATTGTTGAAAGACACATGAAAGAAAAGCACCCTACAAAGAAGCTTTTTGATTTTATCATAAGGGAACCTGATGGTCCTGATGCTGTAAAAAAACTTGATGAGATTCACTCTGATGTAAGTTTGTGTTTCATTGTTGAAATAATATCTTGTACTTTTAACACACTAAACCATTCTTGACCTCTGTGCTGCAGAAATCATCCTAAAAATCACAAATTAAAGCTGTTTTAAGCTGCAGGCATTTTTAGTCTGTTCTCTTAGCCTGTTCTCATTGTGCAAATCATTTCTTAATCTATTCTCCTTTTATGGTTTTCTCTATACTCTTTTTGTTAAAACTTTAAGGCTTTAATCACTATTTTCTTTTCTGTGGGGAAATAGGTTCAAACCCTCTTCACAGCCCTTGTGGATTTGTTCATTTGATGCATCATACTACACTCCCCGACCTAACTGTCAGACCTCAATCATTCGTTCATTCCATCTATTCGTTTGTGATCTGACCACTGACCACCTATGTAGTTCCGCAGCCGAGCACCGATGTAGCCGCTGTTTGTTTTTGTTTACCCGCGGCGGACAAAACCCTTCCCCTCTCTCACTGTTTTATATCAGTGCATATTTTTTGCATCCTGCTACTAGTGCATCTGGAAATGCAGGAAATATGTTGTTTAGGGCTTCAACTAGCAGTGAAGTCAAGATAAAATATATTGTGATGATCAGTTATCAGAGCATTCAGCTTATAAAGGAAGATGAATCTGGAATGTCTCCTGTGTGGTAGTGGTGTGGTATGATACAGGTGCAGAAAAATGTGTGTCCAAATTTGAGATTGTGATTCTCTCTCTTCTGACCAAATTTATAATGCCAATGAAACAAGTTTGTACTGATGTATCTTAACCTAACCAAACCGTACCAAACCAAACCAATGTTAACTAAACTTAACAAAACTTAACCAAACCAAAGCTAACCCAAGCAAACCTGACCTAACCAAAGCCAACCTAACCTAACCTAAGCAAAGCAAAGCAAACCTAATCTAACCAGACTTAACCAAATCAAACCAAAGCCAACCTGACCTAATTTAACCAAAGCTAACCAAACCTAACCAAACTTAACAAAATCAAAGCTAACCTAACCAGTGCTAACTAAACATAACCTAACCAAAGCCGACCTGACCTGACCTGACCTAAAGTAACCTAACCTAACAAAACCAAAACCAAAACCCAACCTTCCCCTCAACATCTGTGCCTCGACCCCCCCCCCCCCCAGTTAACACCATTATACATCATTCCAAGATCATAATTATTAATTATTATAATATGTAGAGAAACATGTGAACACTTGGTGAGTACCCATATTCACTGATGCTGTATTACCAGTATTCTGTGGCATTTTGTATGAAGTATCTAGTGAAACAAGAATGTACTGTTACATACTTTTGTACATAAAGATAATATTTTTCGTGCTTGGGGGGAGAATTCGACTACTTATCCAGACACGACTACATATCCAATCACAGTTGGGCCCGAGGTGTCTGGATGATAGGATGTTGAGTGTATTGTGATTTCTGTGTGTATAGGCAAACTACATTTGTATATTTTTATCTCGGTGCAGTTAATCAGTAATGACTGCTGGGAGGTCAATTTAACAGTTTCATTTACAGTACTGAAATCCTCAGGAATAGTTGCATTACAATTTTTATTATAGTTATTTAGGATTATTAGTTTACTATGTTATTGTTAACAAACCCAAAGATCACAAGAAGCACTGTTATGTCTTGATAAGTTATAAAAAAAAAAATAGCATCTGCATATCCGTGTCGGGTAATAATGCAGCATCGGTGAAAATTGTTATATTGGTACTACTACAGTTAGTTTTATCGTTCAATGATTTTTTGAAGCTATTAATTCTAATTAATATTTATATATCATATATATTGTATTAAATAACAGGATCAAGCACCACCAGTTCCTCCACCAGTTCCCCAAGATCCTCAGTGGCAGTGTGGGCTATGCAAGTTCAGCTCTGTGACTCAACAGGAGATGGTGAATCACACCAGCCTGAAACATGCCATTAAGAGCCAGTTCAAGTGTGGGTACTGTAGTGTCAGGTCATCTGTTCGCACCAGCTTTGATGCACATTTTGCTGCCAAGCATCCAACTCAACATTTTAGGGTTAGTATCTACTGTACTTGAGTTATTAAGGAAATGTTTTCCAATAAATATTTTATGTAATATTTTCTAATAAATACTGTATGTAAGTACTGTACTGGGCTTAAACTTTATTTTTGAGAATTTTCATCATCATCATCCTAAACCTTGTCTTCTGTAAATGATCTGTAAAAGTCACATTTCCCTTATATTTATTTGTCATTTAGACAGCAGCTCATGTCATTTGACAATTTTCACCTAATATTTATGAGAATAAGGTTCTGTTTATAAATCTTGAAACCACTTGGGCAGGACAGTAGAGCAATGGTCTTGCTTCATACAGGTAGGCGTTCAATTCCCGACCGCCCAAGTGGTTGGGCACCATTCCTTTCCCCCGTCCCATCACTAATCTTTATCCCAACGCCTTCCAAGTGCTATATAGTTGCAATGGCTTAGCACTTTCTCCTGATAGTTCTCTTATAAATCTTGGCCAATTACAAAGCTGTTACATTTTGCTGAGTTATTACCTAATAAAATGATAGTTCTTGTTATTATACAAATAACATTATTACTGTAATTTGAATAGTATTGAAGCATGTTGAAAAATTGTAGAATGATATTGAAGCATTTTGTAAAATTTGGTTTGAGACCGTTTCTGTGGGGAGCCCATATGGCTCCCCGGAGCTTACCAGGCTGATATGTATGTATTAAACCATGGCATCAGTCAATTGGAGTGCTACCCTCTGAGCGAGGGCTTGCAGTTACGGGGAGTGGGGTTTTTTCCTTTCCACCCCTCTGCGTACAAGTTGTTGGGCGTCGGCCCCTCCCTGGGTTCTGTTCCTTGTCCCTTCGGGTCTGTCGGTTCTGTCCTATCGATGGGTACTCTTCTCCTTTTTCTCACCCTTCTTCTCTGGGACAGGACTTCTCTGTCAAGTCAGGCTCATGTTCCCCTCATATCAGGGTTCTGCATGCCCTTTGGTCTCGAGTGCGACTGTGCCTTCATGAGCTTTCATGCTTTTGTGCTTGCCTCTGCAGGATCTCGAAGGTTCGAGAAGGTCTTCAGTTCTTCCTGTATTATTGAAACGTATGTTGTCTTCCGTAAAGGCTTCCCTCCAGTCCTTTCTAGGACTCGTTGGTCCTCTTCTGTGCTTCGTCTTGGTTTTTGGTATCAAGACGAAGCACAGAAGTCTTTGGTCTCGTTCTTTTATCCTTATATCTCTCCGTGCTCTGTCTCGGCACTGCTCATATTCCTTTAATCCTCCTAGTTGGCACCCTCCCTACTGGGCGGGTCGTACGGTTCGGACCTCATGCGTCCTGCGCATGTGCAGTGGGAGTTTGTTTTGTTATGAAGTGTACACAAGTGTTGGTGTTCCACCTCATCTTTCTCTCAGGTGCTTCACCTCTCTCGCTCCTCTTAGCTCTCCAGTCCGGGCCCCGTGGATACTGGGGGTGTTCTGGATTCCCAATATGGGGAAGACTCCTAGGTTTCTCTGCATACGGGTGTGGGATGCCGCATTCACCTCTACCCTTCTCTTCTGCATGTGCAGCTCTGGCCTCATTCCACTAGCGGTGCTCCCGGAATATTCTCGGCTACGATGTGTCGTGACACGTTAGTGCCTATGCTCTGCAGGTGAGTTTATGTGGTCGGCGTCTCCTTCGGTCAAGTGCTGGTTCGTGGTTTTTGGATGAGTGTTGGGGATTGGTTGTGGCACTTTGTTTGGCCCATTGTATGCTTCTTCCTGTGGCCTTCCTTGTTCATCTATGTTATTTGTTACACAGTGGAGCACGGCCCCGTCTTTCGTGGTCTTATCTTGGACACCTTCTTATCTTGTTTCTTGACCATCATGCAATGCCTGGCTGAGTCTTCCATATACATTAGCTTCTCTGTGTGTAGTAGGTCATGTCCCTTTTGTTCCGATTTGCTGTCTGTCTTCTTTGTTCCCCATCTTCCTTCTACACTCTTGTCCCTAGCTGCTGGTGCTTGGGCTGTTTTTCTGGTCTTTTTCTTGCGTTTTTTCGTGTTTTCTCATTCTCTCCTACACGCTGTTGTCTGTTTTAGTATGTGCGTCTTGGCTCTACTAATGCTCGGTTGGTCTTTGTCCATGCTCAGTTCCCTACTTTTGCACTGTCCCTGTGTTCGGTTCTGGTCCTGGGAGGTGCTGGGTTTCAGGCCCTGGTTCCAGCCTTTTTCTTTGTGTTCCTTTCAGGTGGTGCATTTTTGTTTTCATGCTGTTCATGTCCTGGTTGTTCTCCTCATACCTTCCTTGGTATTGCGTGCTGCATTCTGCCCTGCCTTTGCTGCTCCTGAGGGTTGTAGTATCCCTGTTTTTCGCTTTGCGTTTCAGTTCATGGTGCTCACTTCCTCGTTGGCCTCGGGCTGGGCCCTGGCTCTTTGTTTTTCATCCTAATTTTGTCCTTGCTGTTTGCGGCATCTGCATTTCAGCATTTTTCTGCTGGCAGCTTCTAGTTGTCATCCGTTGTCGGACTTCTTGGTTCTTCAGGGGTCCTGGGGGGGTTCCTCCCGGACGGGGTGTTTCTGCACACCCGGGTTGGTTCTTTCTCGGCTTGCCGGGTTTAGGTTCCTGGTTTCCTAGCTTGCCCTGCCAGTTGATCTCGCGGTGTCACTTCTCATGAATCTCGCATCAGAACCACAGTGTTTCTGATCTCCTGGTGAGCTCGCTAGCATTGGGAAGTTTTCTGTACGACTGACGTTCAATCTGGTTCATTACCGGCTTCAGTTTCTGGCTCTGCTTGCTCGGTGTTCGCACCCGAGGTTTTCCCCCGGCTCCGCCTCTTCCTAGGCTCAATCGGTCCATGGTGGGGCTGGTTCGGTTCTGCCTCGAATCTGTCACCATTTGTTGGTGGTCAGGTGGCTTCGTTGATGGTGTCCCACCTGCATGTATCATCTCTGCGGTGGTGTGGGGGTTTTTTGTTGGTCCTTCCTTTTTCTTTTTGTCCCTTAGTAGGTTGCTGTGTTTTGTTGGCGTGGTCTTGTCCTTCTTTTGTGCAAGTTCAGGGCCATCATCTTGCCCCATACTGTCACCTTGTCTTGTGCAGCGCTGGCAGAGCTGCTCCAGGAGGCTTCGGTTTTGGTGTTACCTCTGCACCAATTCACGGGCTGTCTTGGGCATGATTCACCTCCGGCCTGCTCTTGCGCCGCTTGAGCCATCCTGGCTCTTGCATTGGGTGCTCTCTTCTCTTCTTGGTTTGTTGTGGCCCCCTTCGGTTCTGGTTTGTTTTCCGAGGCTCTTTTCTTGTTGGTGTTGGCCTCTGGGGGTCGGGTCAGGATGCTTCATGCTCTCCTCTGGCTCCTAGGTTCAGCTCTTTTGGTTCTCCTGATAGGTTTATTCGATTGCAGCCATCTCCTTCTTTTCTGGGGAAGACTGACACGGTTGCTTTCCAGAGGGGTCCTTGAGTTGTTGATGCTTGGTTGGTCTGGCCAGGGGTGCATCATGTGTTGTGTTCGGTTGCGGCGATTCGCAGTTCTTTGCGTGCCATGGCTGCAGTGAACAGGGTCAAACTTGGTCTTGTTCTGGTTTCCCTTCTTCCCTGTTCCAGGGTGCGGTTCTCTCGGGTTATCTGCAGGATGGTTCGGTCCTGCCAGCCTGCTGCCTGTCCCCATGCCCACGTCGTTCATAGGTTGGCTATGCATTCCTTCGCTGATGTTCCTGGGCCTTGTCGGGCCTGTGTGGCCTTGGGTTGGGAGTTGCGGTCTATTTGTCGGTGCTTCGCATGGTGAAGTCGGCGACTTTCGCCTCCCGGGTTAGGTCTCTCTTGTTCTCGTCTTTGGGTAGGTAGCTCCGGGGAGCCGACGGGGCTTCCTCCAGAAAACCAGCATTAAATGTAATGAAACACCATTTTCTGGGTGAGTACCGGAGGCGCCCCAGCAACCCTCCCCCCATCCCTCCGGTCAGCAGTTTTCGTGTGTTTTTTATATCCAGCCTCAGAACTGGGGTGTGGATGGCCGGCGCGGGGGTCTGGGGCTTTCCCCAGGAGCTGCACAGACGGCAGCACGGCAACGTGTGATGTCATATTCGTTTGCTCGTTTCTGTTTGGGGAGTTCTATCCACTTGTTCGGCTTTTTGTAGCAATTTTCATCAGAATTGGGGTTTGTTTTGGGATGCTTACCTTTCTGGGTGCCTAACCTGGTCGACAGCAGACATAGAATGCTTCCAACCACACGGGGGTTTCTATTGGCCATTGCTCCTCGTGCCTCTGTGAAGGGGGCCAGGTTCTGGCTCGTGGTCCCCAGTAGGCCCACAGAACTCCATACACATGACTGATGCCAAAGTCTGACATTAGCTGGTTTTTTGTTAATAGTTGCATTATGTAGATAATATTGTTTACCGCTTCCTCCCCTTCTACCCTTTTATTCTTGCTTCCTGCCACTTGTACAATTTATGGTACCCAGATGGCCAACTCCTTTCTTCTTGCCATTTGGACTCTCTTCCTCTTTCTGGTTTTCACAGCTTTCCATATAAATTGGCCCGGCTCTTGCAATCATTTATTCTTTGACAAAAGATTAGAAACAAATAGAAAGCATTTAAATCTTGACTCATTTTTCAAATGCAGTAGTCAGCATAATGCTTAAGTATAGAAGTATTTTTGTGTTTGGGAATTTTCCTAAGATGGGCTTTGTGGAGTTAACTTTTGTTTATTCTTAGAATGGTTGATGTCATTTGTTAATTACAAATATAGTGTTTTATGTTTTTAGTTTTACAAATATGTTGGCTATTGTGATCGTTAATTGAGTTGTGTTTTGTACTATCTTGAGGTTATCTTGAGTTATATGCAGGTAGATATTCAAGACATTCTAATATAGGAGAAGGAGGTGGAATTATTTCTCCTTGTTTGTTTAAACTAAATAATGTTGATTGCCAGTATAAATTTTCTATAAATTATTAACAAACATGCCTATATCGGGTTAATATGCATTAAATTTAACAGGTACTTTGCATGTATTACCGCTTGGATTCTGAGGACATTGAACCCTTGCATCAAGGAGCTACTCCACACTGCCACGAACCTCTTTGGAAACGAAATGATCCAGAACGTATTCGTCATATTCGTGGTATTTTAATAGAAGATGACCCTGAAAGGAAAAAGGTAACTGGGTTTAACACTTTTACAGTACTTCATCTCTGACAATTTATCTAACAACACTCGGTCCTGTAGTTAATAGCGAGTGAAAGAATGTTTAGGGTAAAGGTTGTATGGTATTCATGTGCCAGTAACTCTGTATATTATTGATGAGGAATGATGCATACCAGAATCAATGTTCTCATCACATGATAAGGAGTTAACAGTAACAGTGTGTCACTGCTTCATATGCATCTCCCAAGAAACTGTATGTTTGATAATTACTGTTCCTCTACAGTAATTAGATAAATATATACAGAAAAATATATAAGAAAATTCTGCTTAGATTTAAGCAATCAAAGTGTGTACAATTTGATACAGCTATTCAATATTTTTAAAAAGTTAATTTAAAATTTAAATTTATTAACTATTAAGAGTAGTTTAATACACTGACTCAAGAAAATAAAAAGTTTGATATAGTACAGTATTGTTTTTGTCAAACAGTTGGCAATGTTATTATAAAAGTTGAAGCATTTAGACTAGTATCTTCATTTCCAGTGGGAGTTGCCACTAGTTTCAATTTGTATTAGCTACATTGACTTTCTGTGAAAGCAAAGATTGAATTTAAATTCTACTTATTGTCATTTAAAACTAACAAGTTTAATACAACTAGATGTTTTGCTTATATGCTTATTTCATCAGGCTCTGGAATGACTGCGGATTACTTTTTACCCCCACAGATTGGTTTAACTTTGTGCTGTTGGGAAGATATTATTTGCTGAATGAGCCTATTCTTTTACAGCTTCTAGATTATTAAACTGGTTGCCATTATATGAGTCAAGAGTCTGTTCAGAGTGTTTAAGTCCCAGTTGAAGGCATATCTATTTTTTTCTAGATCTTATGATCGTGATGATTATACTGTCACTTTGGAACATAAAGTATAGTTTTTTGTACGTTGTCAGTTTAACTGTTAGATGTAAAAGCAGTCGTAAAGTTTTCAAAAGAATATGTACTCGAGAAAAAACTAAATCTTATTATAATTAATTATTACTATTACTTTAAATTGTCGTAGGAATTAAACACCTGCAGCTAATTTTTTTCTATTTCTGAAACCTGTAACTACTCCCATAGGATTGAACATTGCTTTTTGTGCCCTCTGCATATGTTGAGTTTCTCTGGAAGGTCATATAAATAAATTGGGAACAATAGGGGTGTAAGTACCAAGCCTCGTGCGTGTGTGTGTCTACATAACACATTCTTTAATCCAGAATTGGTTGAAACAGACAGGAATAGGGAAGCCAGATAAGGACGAGTTTGTTTGTCCTAGATGTGGCTCCTTCAAAACTGCCTGCCTTGCTACCTTCCGCTCTCACCTCTGCAGGGAGGCAGACTATGACAGGTAACTACACCATTTCAACTTTTCTCTGAATGACAATTTAATATAATTTTATTCTTATATGGATTTGCCAAATTAGTTTTAACCATTTTAATGATTACAGTAGGGAAATTGTAGTTCAGTTAAAAAATTAGACGATATATATTGTAGTGCTCTAAAATATATATTGTAGAACAATATACAGTGAAACCTTGGTTTACAAATGCCCTTCTTTATGAATTTTTCTGTTTACGAGCTCAATTTCTTTTAAAAATTTGACTCAGTTTACGAGCTTTGCCTCGCTTGGCAAGTTTGTTGATACACCTATGAGTCAATCTAGCGCGTGGTTCCTGGTGGCATAGGCGAGACGCGCTTCAGTTTACCAGTGCCTCCTGCCTAGTGACAATCGCACTTGAATTCTTTGTAAAGAATTTCATTGTGTTTGTGCTTTTTTGGTTTCTGAACATAAAAGTAATTATTATATGTCATGCCATGGGGACCCAAGAAAGTCAGTGGTAAGGTTCAACCTAAGAAAACAAATGTGAGTATGACGATAGAGGAAAAACAAGAGATCATTTGTAAACATGAAAATGGTATGAGTGTTGTTGAACTAGCTAGGCTGGACGGTGCTGATGTGGAGGAGTTGGTGGAGGAACACAGCGAAGAACTGACCACTGACAAACTCATAGCCCTTCACAAGTAGCAGCAACATGAGACAACTGAGGAAATTTCTTCAGGGAAGGAGGAGGCAGTAGAGAATGTCCCTTCCTCATTAATTAAGAAAATGTGTGCAGCATAGGAAGAACTGCAAAGTTTTGCTGTAAAGTGTCACCCAGATAAAGCTGTAGCAGGCTGTTGCATTAACCATTTTAATGTCAGTGTGATGTCTCGCTACAGACAAGTGTTAAAATGTAGGGAAAAACAAGTGTCTATAGAGTGGCAAGCAGTGAGCCACAGCCAGGTCCTAGTGGTACTCATGCAAAACGTAGGAGAGAGAAGTCATCGCTGCCTGATGTTATAATGGAAGGGGACTTCCCTTCCAAACACTAACACCTCTCCTCCACCCCCCTCCACCCCCCCCCCCCCCCCCCCCCCCCCCCCCCCCCCCCCCCCCCCCCCCCCCCCCCCCCCCCCCCCCCCCCCCCCCCCCCCCCCCCCCCCCCCCCCCCCCCCCCCCCCCCCCCCCCCCCCACCCCCCTCTCCTCGCCATCTCCATCTTCCATACGCCAACAAGAGTCATCAATAAAGATACTATATAACTTGTACATACTGTAGTACAAAATATTTGTAGTATTAGGTATAAAATGTATTTTAAAGTTAATATTTTTGAGTGTGGAACGGATTAATTCAATTAACATTATTTCTTATTGGAAAATTCGTTTTGGTAAAAAAACGTCTCTGGGAACAGATTAAATTCATAAACAGGTACCACTGTATAGAACAAGTGTTCTACAATAAATATATAAATATATATATATATATATATATATATATATATATATATATATATATATATATATATATATATATATATATATATATATATATATATATTTATTTATTTATATTTATTTATATTTATTTATTTATTTATTTATTTATTCATTCATTCATATGTGATATATATTGTTATTTTAACACTTTGTTGCAATTAAGGAATATACATGTACTGATATGAATTCAATAAGAGATTAAACGACTTAGAACCTACACACAGTGATGTATAAAGTACAGGCATACCTCAGAATGCGAGTTTAATCCGTTCCTGGAGATGCCTCGCCTTCCAAAAACTCGCATTCCGAAGTTAATTTCCCCATAAGAAATAAAGGGAAATGAATTAATCCGTTCCTGACTACCCCAAAAACCCCACATCAAACTAAATTTTTATACCTAATTTACCTAATTCATCTAAATAAACCTACAAAACTGTGTTCCAGTTATTACTTACCTTGCTGTCGAGTGCTGTAGGCGTATGGAAGATGGTGAGGAGGGGGGAGGAGGAGAGGAGTTACTGTTTGGAAGGGGAGTCCCCTTCCATAATCACATCACATAACCCCATGCCTTGTAACACTATGGATACCACTTCTCTCTAAATTTTTCAAACCAGCCCCTGCTTGCCTTAAACTCTTTCTTATCTGCATCACTCGTTGCAGGGGTATTCTTTAGAAGGTCTTCGTGCAACACCCTGGCTTTCTCACAAATAATGGCCTCCGAAACACTATCACCCCTCAACTCCTTGTCGTGTATCCAAATTAATAACAACTTTTCCACTTCTTCAAGTATTTGTGGTCTTTGTGCCGTTAATGTTCTTACTCCTTTTGCCACTTTAGCACCCATAATCTTATTTTTCTTCTTAAGTATAGTGCATATTGTTGATGTGGCTTTGTTGTACTGCCTACAAAGTTCAACAACACGTGTACCGTTCTCATGCTTCCGAATGATCTCTTGTTTCTCCTCTATTGTCATCCTCACATGAGCTTTCTGGCCTTTATCCTTACCACTGGCTTTCTTGGGACCCATGGTGAGATATACAATAACAAATTGTATAGACAAATCACCAAAAATCAAACAAAACACTGAAAATCCGCGAGAAGAATTGATGTGGGGGTAGTCACTGAGCGCGAGACAATGGTAAACTGAGGGGCGGAGGGGCGACGATCGCCGAACCACCACGCGCTAGGTCGGCCTGTACGCGTATCAACAAACTCGCGTCCCGAAGTAACCCTTGCCTTCTGAGACAAATTTTTGGAGTAAATACTGCTCGCCTTCCGAAAACCTCGCATACAGGGACAATCGCATTCCGAGGTACCACTGTACTTAATACACTAACCACACTCTATTCGGGCCTTATCTCTTCTACCCCAATTTCTATTGTATACATACATGAGCCATTCTTACCGGGGCGTGTTACTGCAACATGTAACAAGACCCCATATATTAGATAAATAGTTACAAGTAATAAAATTCAAATAGTATATAGGTAAAGCATTAAGTATTGTACTGTTCATTGCAAGCAAATTTTCTTCATGTGTTTTAACCTCCTACTAAAGTCATATCAGTATGTGTGTGTTATGACAAGGTTAAATGAAAAATCTAGTCTGGAATTTATATTACACTCTTATTAGTAAATACTGTAGTCGTATTTATATTTGCAAAATTACTATGGCGTACAATTATGGGTGCATTATTCCTAAGTGGAATAATGTGAGGAAGACTAGGTAAGGGTGGCTTGTTAAGAGGAAGTGAAAGATTGACATGTACATACTGGAAGTTCACAAGGAGTACCTCACATATATTCTTATGAAGTAGTGGGATGCTATTGTTGATCATTTGCTAGTGTGTGGTTGTGTTGGTTCTCAATGATTCTCTTTGGTGTAGAAAATATGGTGAATAGCTGGGTGTCATTATATGGAATGACACTACAAATTTATGTGTCTTGATATCTGTTTAAAGAAAGCATCCTTAAGACATTAATATTTTATTAAATATGTTTCAGATACCAATGTGTGGAATGTGGAGTATGTAATGCTCTCCTTCCTAGCCTACAACGGCATTTTACAAAGATGCATCATGCACCATTTACATCTGACTGCTATCTTAATCTTCCTGTAGAAGATGATAAAGAGGCTTGGGTAAGTTTGTATAACTTCTCATAGAAGATGTCAAAACAACAACTGTGTGATGAATTTTTATATATAATTTATTGTATTAAAATGGAAATTACTCTGTTGGGAGCATATTCATATGACATCCCTCTTAATTAAGAACATATATTTTCCAAGTGTTGGGCTAAAACTAAATGGAGTCAGGAAAGGAAGTGACTAGTTCAAGTGAAGGTACAGTATTTCATACTAAAGTAAAATACAATGGCTGAGATTGTTTATTTATATGGTATACTGTAATGCATCATAATACAGTGTAGTAATGTGGAACTATAGTTAACAATCAGCCTGTCCTCTCAAATTGTCACAATTGACAGAAAATGATGTACTAAATTGCATGAACCTAACTGATGGACCCACTCATAAAACTATTTGTGAGCTGCTATGATTTATAGTACATCATATTTTGTCTGTTGGGGATTTTGGCATCAAAATGTGATGTATTATTCAAGAGGACAGGTTGATATTAATGAGGGGTTCTTTCCTTCTTCCCCTCTTACATATACTTGCTGAACCTGCTTTATAATCATTCTATTTATTGTATATGAGCTTCATCTGTTTCTCTTGTATACCAAAGAACTCTGGCACAGGCCTATCCAACAGAAGATTGGATGCCAAAAAACTGTTTTAAGTGAGGTGGTGGTGGTGGATACCAAATTCATCAGTAATTCCAAAGCATCATAGGACACAAAGATTGTTGGGAAGATAGCACACTATGAGTGTACCTCTCATCCTCTAACTAAACTTCTGTAATTACTTAGAAAATTTCACACACTTACATGAATAATAATTTTAATATGTTTGAAATTGAATTTGTTTTGAAAGGTTGAAAAGGTGATCAATCATCAGCAGAAGCTAATCAGAGACTGGCAAGAGAAGGGTTGTGTTGATGCTACCTCTGAATCTGTACTATCTCCGTCAGTAGCATCTCCACATGCTGCTGCTGTCAGAACTTCTGGTGGCACACGTCGCTCTCTGACCAATCTTATATCTGTCTCTTCTCCAAGTAAGTTATGCTAAGTATGCTTCTAATTTTCATACTGTATTGTATTACTTAAATAATGCAGTTGATCATACGTATATCACTGCTTTGTGTGTGTGTGTGTGACTGTGTGGGATAAACACTTGTAACTTTGTGTGAACACCTTCATTGTTGACAAAATTGTAGTTATCAGTGGTATCTCTATTTTACTCTTGATAAATATCAAGTATTTGCTTGACAATTATAATACTATTTGTTTATTGCTATCACACTCAACCAGAGTAAAGAATTGCTGCCATTGATAGTTTTGCTTCAAGTTGTATGCTAAATTAAAAATGACCTCCACGTGTTTTGATTCTAGCACAATGTCTTCAGTATTGTTTGTCACTGTGGTATTGTTACTGTATATGCATGGAAAATGTTTGTGTCTGTGAAATGACAGTTCAGTCTAAAAATGTGTATTTAACACTACATTAACTCAGGGAAATTTTTTTCACAAGAGAGAGCTTTCCTCTAGAGACCTACCTGACTATGTTCAAGGAGCTTTATTAATTCTCACTGATAAACCATTTTACTACATTTTCTTAAGTAAAATGGTAAATAAGAATGTAGAAAATTTTATATAATTTTTACCCACTACCATCATAGCATTTTCTAGGTAAACTTAGCAGTGGTCTTATTTATTCAATATATTAAAACAGCTGTGTTATGTAGTTTTAAATTTTTGAGTGAAAGAAAAAGTTGTGTATTCCCAGAATACATGGCCTCTGCCATTGAGAGATTTTATGAAGTCACAAAAAACTCCCTAGAAATTAATGGGTTTTATTTTTGTTAATTTGAATATCCCTTAAGTATAATAGTTAATTATGAAAATCTAATCCTTCTTCCCATGTTTTACATGCTGCATTTTTACTCTTTATGAAAAGTACTGTATAGTATAAAGATATTTAATGAAAACCCTCCCACTCCTTCCATCTGCCTCTGGTGCACCTGATCCCCCATCCACTAGGTGAGAGTTCCCCCCAGCAAGGTGTTGTTCTACACGACTCTGGCAGTGAGCGTGGTCGCTTCGTCTGTGACACTTGTGGATCAGAGTGCCGATCAGCTGCTGGACTGAAGAGCCATACCACTGCTATGCATCAAGCCAGGTCTGCTGATATGACTTGTGGTCTAAAGCATTCAGGTTTTCATTGTTAATACCATAAGTTTTATTTAAAATAGTTCTGAAAATTTGTATTGTAGCTTGTAATTAGTTACATGCATTTTATAGTATGAAATAACAAGTATTGAGTAGAATTAAAGAGGGAGGGAACAAGGCTTTTAAGATGAAAAAATAGTAGTATGCATATTTTTGCTCGCTCCTAAATTTGTTTCAATGAGATACATCGGTGTGATTCCTCACTCACTCACCTGATACATATCTAACTATCAAATGTTGAAGACCTAACTTGGACAAATTTCTAAAACAATTTTGAGCAGTTTTACTTCCTAAATAAAGAAACCAGGTTTTCTGCACTTTATATTTTAAGTATGTGAAGACTAAAAGTAGCTTCAAAAAGTATATACAAAAGGAAACAAATCTAATAATCATGTACAAACAGTACTACTTAAGAGTACAAAAGTAATACATAATAATAGGCTCAGTGTGTGTGTAAGATATGTAAATGTCTTCCAGGTCATGGTGTGGTATACATTATAGTAGGGCCAGAGAAAAGCATTATCTACACCAGTTCCTTTATAATAGAACTCCTTTCATAATTGTAAAGAATCTGATTGACATAACTTTGTAAAATTTGTGGGTTTTCAGCTCTTAAATATTTTCTTAGAGAGGTCTTTCATATTTAACACCTTGTTGGCATCTCATTTTTTGTTTGCTACTTTCTTTTGGTTTCAACATGTCTTGTCACTGGCTACGTGGAGTGATTTGTTTATTGTTTTGTTTTATTCAATTGACTGAATAAATAACAAAGCGTTATTAATTGTGCTACTCTAATGCTTGTATTTTACTTAATTGCATTGTATACACTCCTTGACATTTTAATTTGCACCAAAATACCACATTTAATCAATTATTTAATTTTTGTATCAAGCTGAATGGGTGAAATTAAGTTGAGGCGATTACAGGTACAGTTGAGTGAATTATTACTAGTATATATATTTAATGTAAAATGTGTATGAAGGAAAAAAGTGCCAAAGGGAGTGAAGAAGGCATCACAAATTAATCTGAAGCAGTGTGGACATATTGAGAGCTTATGGTTCACTAAAGAATTAGTATACCTTAAAGGAGTAAGATGCAGTGAGTTTAAGTTATGGGGTACATGGTGAGTGCAAAGTGAGCACCATGTGAGCATCAAAGTGAGTGCAAAGTGAGCACTTTGTACCATGTGCCCATATTATGGGTACATGGTATAAAGGTGAGTGAAAGTGACCAGCTGAGGACAAGTGACAGTGCACATATGACAAAGGGAATGAATAGGTTAGAAAATCAAGTTGGGTTCAGGTGCCAGAAGGGCTATATGGTACAGTTTACATGGGGGATTTGTTAATAATTATTAAATAATAACCAAACTGAGCACATCATCATTGTAAGAAACAATTAGTCAAAAGCATTGGCTGTATGTTAAATCTTGGCTTTAAAAAGCTCAAAGGTCAAAGTTTTAATTTAAGCTTTTAAGGAGGAAGTATGGGAAAGAATTTTAAAAAATATAAATATAGCCAGTGACTTTGCATGTTTGAAATTTTTCTGGGGGGAGCCCCTACAGCTCCCCGGAGCTTACCAGGCTGATATGCTAATGTCAGACTTTGGTATCAGTCATGTGTACGGAGTTCTTATATGCCTACTGGGGACCATGAGCCAGAACCTGGCCCCCTCAGAGAGGCAAGGGAAGCAATGGCCTATAGAAACCCCCGTGGAGGAAATGATAAAAAGACTAACAGAAACGCCCCAGCACCAGAGGCCAGGGACAAGAGTGAAACAGGAAGCATTCTATGTCTGCCATCGACTGGGTTAGGCACCCAGAAAGGTAGGCGTCCCAAAACAAACCCCTATTCTGGTGAAAATCACAGGGTTTTTCCCTGCGTTTTTGGGTGGGGGAGCCTCCTTCGCCGCTACCCTCCTCTTCTCTGGCATGAGCGGCTCTGGCCTGCCTTCCGCGGGCGGTGCTCCTGGTTTTCTCGACTACGGGTGCACGTTTTCCTGGCCACCTCCGGCGGCTCCATTCACATAGGCTTGCGTCATGGCCCTTCAGCGCCTATGTTCTGCAGGTGAGTTGGTGCGGTCTGGCGTCTCCTTCGTCCTGACGTTGTTTTTGTTTTTGGGAGTATGAATGGGTGTACATACGTACTTGAGATCGTAGAACATAACAACCGAGGTGCCTGCTGCAGGGTTATTGGCCCATACGTGGCAGCTCTTGTTCTCACCACCCGATTCCTTCCTCAGATCACAGATGACTGCAGGAGGCCTCTTGGCCCATACGAGGCGGCTCCTGCCTGTACTCATCCTGCCCCTCTCCTATGCTTGTCCAACCATGCTAGAGTTCGGGGCCCCACCTCCACCTTGTTCCACGGTGCAACGGTGGAGGTGCCTGTTCGGTGGTACGTTTTCCTGTGTCGAGAGTGTTATGTGCTCGCTTACTTGTGTTTGCGGGGTTGGGCTCTGGCTCTTTGGTTCCGCCTCACCTGTCATTCGCCTGACGTGCATATTATGTGCCTCCAGCGCTCTCTTGTCTCTACACTTGGTGCTGTGTATGGAGTCAGCCCAGGTATGGGCTGCCTAATGTGTTCCATCAGTTGCCTGTTACACTGCATACGTTTCTTCTAACGTCCCTGTGGCTCTGTTGGTTACTCGGTTTCCACTTGTGTCCCCTTGTTGTATGCCACTCGTGTTACAGTTTATCTTTATCTACCCTGTCACTTCCTCTGGGAGTGTCGTGATGTTTTGCTGCGGTTTTGATACTGCGGCTGCGTGTGGGGGTATGGTTGTGGCGTTTTGTTCGGCCCTTCCGTGCTCCTTCTGGCGCCTTCCTTGTTTGGCTTTTCTGTTCCCTTGATTTTTCTGGGGCCCTCCTTCCTTGCCGGTCTTGCTGTATCAGGCCTGGTTTTTCCATGTTCCTTGGATTCTCTGTCCTAACCTCATTGTCCTCGCCTAGTTGTGCTGGCTAGGGATGAGCTTGGGCTCTTCGTCTCGCCCCTCGCCTATCATTCACTTTGTTTCACTTCCAGGGCCTACTGGGCTCTTCTCTGCACTGGACGCTGGGTGTGGGGTTGGCCTCCGCCACTTCCCTTCCTCATGCATTCCTCTCGTCTTCCTGTTTCACTCTTGTCCCTGGCCTCTGGTGCTGGGGCGTTTCTGCTAGTCTTTTTGTCATTTCCTCCTTCACACTGTTGTGTGATTTGTTTGTGCCATTTGGCCTTCCTGTTGCCAGGTTTGGTTTCCTGTTTTCCTGGCTTGCCCTGCCTGTTGGTTTTTTCAGGGTCTGGCGATGTCCCTTCTCTGGTGTCTCACGTCGGACCTGTGATTTCAGATCCCCTGGCGAGCTGGCTCGTGTTGGGGAGTTTTCTGTTCGGCTGACGTTCAATCTCCTTGCTGGCTTGGGCTTCCGGCTCTGCTTCCTTGGTGGTCGCATCCAAGATCTTCCTGCGGCTCCGCCTCTTCCTAGGCTCGGATGACCCTTGGCGGGGCTGATTTCGTTCTGCCTCGGGTATCTCGCGTCCGTTGGTGGTCAGGTGGCTTCGTAGTTGGTGTCCCACCTGTGTGCTTCTTGGCGGCAGTATGGGGTGTTTTGGCGGTCCTTCCTTTTCCTTCTGTCCCTTCTTCGGTGGCTGCGTTTGTTGGCGTCGGCTTGCCTTTTCTGCTGGGGGGGTTGGGGGCCGTCGACTTGCCGCATACTGTCGCCTCGTTTTATGTGGCGCTGGCGCCGCTTGAGCCGTCCTGGTCATTGGACAGAGTGCTCTCTTTTCGTTCTTCTCCTCGTTTTCTTGGGGCCCCTTCTTTTCCGGTTTGTTTTTTGATGGCTCTTTTTCCAGTTGGCATTGGCCTCTGGGGGTCGGGTAGGTGAGATTCATGCTTTCCTCCTGCACAGGGGTTTTCTGCTCCTTCGGTCGGGGTGATCGGTTTGGTCGTCTACTGCCTTCTCCTTCTTTTCTGGCGAAGAATTTTTCTGCTGCTTTCCGGAGGGGTCCCTGGGTTGTTGATGCTTGGTTGGTTGGGCCGGGGGTGCATTTTCTTTTTGTCCGGTTGCGGCTCTCCGCCGTTATTGGCGCGCCACGGCTTCTGGGTCCGTGGACGCGCTTTGGGTTACTCCGGTTCCCTTCTTCCCTGTTCCGGGGTGCGGGTCTCCCAGGTCACCCGCGGGGTTCTTAAGGCTTGCTAACCTGCGTTCTATCTCTGAGCCCTTGATGTCCGCAAGTTCGCGACTCTTGCCGCCATCTTTGGTATTGTGTCCTAGGAGGACACTCGGGCACTGGGTATTTGGCAGTCGAGTAGGGTCCTTGGCCACTCGTTACCTTGTACACGTTCCTGGGCCCAGTCGGGCCTATGTCGCTTTGGGTCCACGGATGCGACCTGCTGTCTCGACTTTGGGGTTGAGTAGTGTGCGGCGACCGCCTCCTGGGTCTGTCCCTTTTTCTTTTCCTCTGTGGGTAGTTAGCTCCGGGGAGCCATAGGGGCTCCCCCCAGAAAACCAGCGTTGAATGTAATGAAACACCATTTTCTGGGTGAGTCCCGGAGGCTTCCCCAGCAACCCTCCCTTACCTTGAGGTTACCTTGAGGTGCTTCCGGGGCTTAGTGTCCCGGCGGCCCGGTCGTCGACCAGGCCTCCTGGTTGCTGGACTGATCAACCAGGCTGTTGGACACGGCTGCTTGCAGCCTGACGTATAAGTCACAGCCTGGTTGATCATGTATCCTTTGGAGGTGCTTATCCAGTTCTCTCTTGAACACTGTGAGGGGTTTGCCAGTTATGCCCCTTATGTGTAGCGGAAGCGTGTTGAACAGTCTCTCTCTCCGGTCGGCGTTTTTTTTGCATGTTTTGACACCCAGCCTCAGAACTGGGGTGTGGATCGCCGGCACGGTAGGTCTGGGGCTACCCCTTCCCCATCCCAGGGAGGGAGGGTTGCACAGACATCGGCGTGACGACAGGTGACATCATACTAGTTTGCTCGTTTTTTGTTTTGGGAGTTCTATCCACTCATTCTGCTTTTGGTTGCAATTTTCACCAGAATAGGGGTTTGTTTTGAGACTCCTACCTTTCTGGGTGCCTAACCTGGTCGATGGCAGACATAGAATGCTTCCAATTACACAGGGTTTCTATCGGCCATTGCTCCCCTTGCCTCTGAAGGGGGCCAGGTTCTGGCTCGTGGTCCCCAGTAGGCCCATAGAACTCCATACACATGACTGATGCCAAAGTCTGACATTTGCATATCAGCCTAGTAAGCTCCGGGGAGCCTCCGGGACTCGCCCAGAAAATGGCGTTTCATTACATTCAACGCTGGTTTTTTAATTTCATATATATTAATTTATTGCAAAATGTGATAAATTTTACTATACATATATTTTATCAATAAATAGGCCATTTCTTGTCACGCTCATTAACTGGATTAGCATCATATAATGCAGCCCGCTAGAATACTTTAGGGTGATAATTCTCGCTTTGGATATGATTCGAAGCTAATGCAGGAATTATCTTTTTTTAACATGGCTGTTAACATGTTTCAGGATAACACAAACTAATTCCCCTTGAGTATAAAATACATTCTATGCATACAGTATTTCATAAATTAGGTGTAATAGTTGTGTGTTTTGGTAGTTATTTTGAGATAGTCTTTTTCTTGTGACTCATCAATGACAATTTGCTAATAAGTGATTTCTTATAAATTTGTTGAGAAGTAATGCCTTGTATAATTTCAGCATGTTTGTTTTTTCTAGGTTCAAATGTCATTATTGCCCATTTGCAAGCAATAGTGAAGATGCAGTAAAACAGCACAGCAGTGTCAAACATCCCAAACTACAGAATGAAGTACTTGATGTATCACAGCGGTGCAAAGTCCAGAAGAGTGATGATAGTGTAGCCAATAATGAGACTGTAGGAGAGAGTGACTGGGAGAAAATTAAAGCTGATATTGATGATGATGATGATGATAAGAAATCTATAAAAGAAGAAATACTTCATGGAAAAACTATAGTTAAAGTAGCCCAGGTTCCAGATTCAAGTGGAAAGGGAATACATAATATAGAAGTGAAACCAGATGTTGGTGAAGATACTGTAGAAGAATCTTCAGATGTCACTAAGACATTTAAGTGTCCTTTCTGTCCGTTCACTATAAGTACTGCATCAGGCCTTAATCAGCACAAACGTACTAAGCATGCAGATACACGTTTGTTTATGTGTTTACATTGTAATGGACGCTTTAATACAAACATTGATGCACTTCGTCATCATAAATGGAAGCACCAACAGTTAAAGCCAAATATTAACCACCTGGTTTGTGACAGGACTGATGAGGATGTAATCAGAGGGGGAGAGCTTAGCTCTGCAGAAAACAGTGAAGGCTCTGTTTCATCAATGCCCATTACTGGTAGATTAATCAAATTAGGACCTGGTGCAAAACCAGTGAGATCCAAAGCAAGAAAGTCCTTTACAAATCCTTCATCATTTCCAGTTCCAGTATCTAGTCAAGTGCAAGAAATATCTACAAATGAATTATCAAGCATAAGCAGTCCATTTTCTGTACCATCAACCAGTTGTGAGCCAGAGGTCGGTTACAGCTGCTGTCATTGTAGCCAGCGGGCAAGTAGTTCAGCTATGGAGGAGCATATGAAGAAGCAGCATAGAGACCTACCTTACCAGGTACGAAAGGAAGAAGGTGATAAGATCTTCACTGAAGTATACATATACAAGTGTATACATTGCATTGCAGAAAGTATATGTCATGCCCAAGCAATGGATCATTGGATTCAGAACCATCCACTAATCGATTTTAAGATTAAAATGGTTTTACGACATTCTGGAGAAGTTTCAAATCAAGTAGTGAGTAGCACAACTGCTGATAAAGAACCTCCACAAACACCTTTAGATGTATCCAAAAGTGATCCTCTGTCGCAAGATGCAGATATCAGTACTAGTGACAGTGGAATCGGTGCGGGATCTGCATCTGTTGGCTCGAGTTCTGTCATTACAAGCAGCTCCGAGAGTGTGAGTATTAAACCATTGCTTTTATCAAAACGAAGAGGAAGTGGTAAAGACATGAAATCACCAAGTCGGTACAGTATAGACACTGAGGAAGAAGAGACAGTTGAAATCTCTGATATAACAGAGGATGAGAATGAATCTCTTGTACAGTCAAGTTCAGAAACTGAAAATGAAGATTTGATATACAAGTGTGGGCTGTGTAAGAAGAGCAGTGAGAAGTTAGAAGAGCTTAAGGCACATATGAAAAAAGTAAGTAAGGGTAATGAATATTTAATTAATGTAGCATGTACTTTGCACACCAAATCTTACAATTTTTTATCTAATTATTATTATGCCTTTTAAGAAATGTTATTTAAAACAAATTCTTTCTAAAGAATTTGCTTTTATTTTATTAGATCCATGCAGATAGACCAGTAAAAGTGAAGAAATTACGAAGAGAAGTTTTTGAAGAGCTTTTTCGAGCTGAATACGAATGTGGTTATTGCAGCGAACGTGGCCGTCACCGCTTCATCAATCGCCATCACAAATCTGCTCATTCCAAATTGCCTATTAAAATAACTCGCTTGCCATCAGCTCCAAGAGAGAATATCTATTTCAGGTTCGTTCCATATTTTATTTTTAAAGATTATTTGTGCTTACCATAATTTTGTTAAGATGGAATCAAAATTACAGATCTTAATGTCTGAATTAATTATTGCTGCTTTATAAATACTAAACACACAAACATTGAAACAATATTAATAACAAATAATTTGTGTGAAACGTGTTTATGTAAGAATGCATAGAGGTGTTTGTGAAAGTATGTACAGTACGTGTTGTAAAAGTGTGTACAAGGTGTGTGTGTGTGTGTAAATGTGTGTATGAAGTGTTAGTGACTATATCTGTAGAAATTTTGTGTAAAAGCATGCACCTATATGAAAGTGAAGGTGTTTGTGTGCCTGTATTTGTATATAGCAAAAAGTATGAGGTATGTGTGTAGTCATGGAGGGTTGGGGTGGGTTTTGCTTTTCAGGCTGTTCCCCATCCACTGCCAGTTCCAGTATCTTTGAGATTCTTTCCTTACATCAAAGTCCATCAACTGTTCTCCATTGCAAAATTAGGGAAACAAAATAAAAACACACTTTTGTTATTTATAACAGATGCGATGTGTGTGGGCATGTGGTCAAAAACTTGCAGTCCATTCGTCAGCATATTCGCCGCCACCATCCAGAGGCTGAAGAATTTACATTCTCAAAATTGACTTTAGGATCTCCAGTGCGGCCTCCTATTAAACAGCCATTTAAGTGCAATTACTGTGGTGATGTTGGCGAGACAATTCAGGAAATGCATACTCACCATGCCTTCTTGCACTCACATCTGGAGTGTAGTATCACAAATCTTTTGGATGAAGCTTTATCATCTGTTCACACTCCATCCACCAGTCATAGTTCTGGAGAAACAAAATCTCCAGCATTTGTACCTGTGCCTGCACCTGCAGTCAGTAAAAGCTCCCCAGCACAAAACAGGGAGTTGAGTAGCCAAAAAACTTCTGCAGGAGCACCAGTTATCCCCATGGGAGCACCACTTACCCCTGCGGTAGGACCAGTTGTCCCTGTGGGAGAACCAGTTGTCCCTGTTGGGGAACCAGTTATCCCTGTGAGAGAACCAGTTACTCCAGTAGGTAATCCAGTTATTCCTCTAGGAGAACCAATTATCCCTGTTAAACCCCCAGTTATCCCTGTAGTTAAACATAAGAACACAGCTAGAAAATCAATGCAAGTACCTTTGAGACGTACAGTTGCCATGAAATCAACAACTAAACTGCAACCATCGGCACCCAGTAGAAGTGATGATGATGATAATGATGAGAGTTTCAGTTTTTACCAGGTACCACAGTCTCCTCTTCAGCTAGAAAATATCTATGCTTTTGTAAACCTTGGTGCAGGAGTTCCTATGAGGCTCACAGTGCAGCAGCTTGGAAGACTCTTTAATTTATGGCCTCGAGTTACAGTCACCAATATTAAAAATACCAGGAAGATGACTTAAACCAAGTCAGGTCATGTTAATATGTAAGTAAAACAAATTGTCCCTTATGGATAGGATAATACAAAATTTCACATGGGGAATGAAATTACCCATGGGATATTATTTAGAGTATTAAATCCCAAAGATTAGTGATCATTCAATTGTATGCTCTCAGATGTGCTACATGCATGGTAACTTAATAATTTGACTGAACTATACGTATATTTAATTTTCTTTCATGGGGGGGTCTTACAGTGTTGCAAATTGAAGCCCCAAATCTCAAATTGCTTAGTGATTTTGTTTATAGCACATGCACAGAAAAGCATAATTGCCAAGTTGCTTTCATAAAAAAAAGAACTTTTATAAATTCTTGCTCTTTTAATATGTGAAATGGTATTTAACCATAAAAATAAATGGATTGTTTATTCTTTTTGCAAATTGAATTAGAATAATATGTCTTCCTCAAAAGATTTAGTAAATATTACATTCTTAGTGTAGACTGTTTCTGTGATAATTACCCACCTTCTCTCTTACCCCTCATTTTCTCCCCAAGCCCTTCCCTTTCCTCTGCATTATCCTCATTAAATCTTTCTCCCTCACTCTGCCCCCTTTGTTTCTCGAATCCTTTAATTCTTTCTCCTCCTCTGTCCCAATCCCCCATATCTGTGGTGTAGTGTGTAAGTAGGTCAAAGGATTGTCTCTACCCTTCCTCTCTAGTTGTCTTTATTTTGTTTTAACCACCCTACTATTTCAAAACCTGCTCTTCTCATTCCTAACCTCCCTGCACCTCTTCAATCCTCCCATCACCCTACTCCGCTTTCCCCCCCTCTTTCTCTTTGTCTCATTTACACTCCTTTCTTCCTTCCCTCCCAATTCTGACAGCTTTGTCTCCCTATTGCTGTTTATTTTCCCTTTCCTCTTTTTGTTTTTTATGTAAATGTCGGAAGACTGGAAAAATTGCATTTGGCTTAAGTCTGTAGTGAATACTCCACTGCTTATTCTAGTAAATCTGGAGGAAACAATTCTCAGTGATTATTATTACTTTCTTTACTCAATGCTTTCTCTTTGAAAATAAGTTTGTGTTGAGTTTGCAATGTGCCCAGTAATAAATAGTTGAGTATTTGTAACACTTGAGTTTGGGGGGATATTGCTCAAGGCCATTGTACTGTAATGCTATCTTTGATGTGAGACCTGAACTGAAAATTTTAATGAGAAGCAATGAATTTGTAAGCATGGCTGCATAAGACACAAATTTAAAGCAAAACAATTACACGAATGTACTTGATTGGTTGACTGTGGTGTAGTTTTTGGCCTTCATTCCTGAAATATAAAGTTTTCATTAATTCACTCTTTTTATAACTATGAATAAATTTGTGGTACAAATATAGGAAGTGTAATTTAAAAGTTCCTAGTTTAATTTGGTTAGTTTTTATATCAAGTGAAAAATAGTGTTCCAGTTACACTTGTGTACTCTAGTACCACTGAATGTTGATGGCTCATTATAAAACAGAAATTAATGCAATTTTGAAACGGTTATTAGTCATGTAATTAGATACCTCATTCCAATGTAATACAGACTTACAATAATTTATCATTTTGTTAAACAACATGTAAATATCAAGTATGTCTTGTCCTATATTTAATTTAAGGTTATTTAAATTTTAAAATATTCATTATTTAAGCTAGTACAGCACTAAAAGAATTAATCAGGTTCATGAGTTGACTGCTCTCTGAATGGTGCCTATTAGCTCTGAGTCAGCTACAATTGATTCATATTATGCTGTATTCCACTTTTTGGACCAGTTTTGTGAAGCAGTTAACTGTAGGATCAAAATGGCATAGATGAGACATTTTGTTACAAATCATTTATTTATGATTGAATGCTGTGTAGTTGGAATTATACACAAAATTTACACATTCACTAATCAAGTGCGGCTCAGATTTGCTTTATTTCTTCACACACAAACCATTCCTCTTTGTACCTTTTTTCACATTCATGACACAACTGTAGCATCATTTGTATGTTCCATATCGTAAGGTCAGTAATATGATTTTTCTGTACATAAAATAAAAATAAAAATATTTTAGTTGAACTTGTGAAGTTTTATCATTAGTAACCTTACAAATTGATAGTTGCTCCTGGCCACCCATTGGAACATTACTGATAATAAATTTAAGATCACAGATCTTTCCTCTCCCTATATATTCAGATTTTTATCTAATAACTGGTATGCTTGCATATGAACAGAGGAAAGGTAAGATATTGTAACAAGTATATTATGTCAGCAGTATACTCGCTCCATATTCTCATTAGCTTATGTGCAGGTACTCCCTTCCTTTCTAGACCGTTGTCATTGTGATGGGGCTTGGTAGGCGGCTGCCGGAGTGTGATGCTCCATGGGACAGTCCTTTGTCCTTTGGAAGCCTTATGCTCCTGCTTCTGTCTTCACTAATTATGCTGGAAGTCTTTTTTTTTTCCTTTTCATTGTTTCATTTTCTCCCCCTCTTCTTTCTAATTGTCATTTCCCGCCGACCTTTTGCCAGTCTTCATTATTCGTTCGGACATCTGTTTTGACGCCCGGGTGTTTGGGGGAGGCGCACACACTCGCCCATAGAACTGTGGTACCCAACGTCGTGAACGAGGGAACGCTTTTATGGTCAATCCTTCTCTCGTCGCTGAACCTGATCTCGACAGACTGACGGTTCTTAAGGTGGCGATTGTGGGGCGTATACTCTCGACGCACCCCTAGGGGGCCCCAGCCCATCTCTTGTTGGATGTCCTATCCTCTAATTGTGGCTCCATGATGGGTACGGGGCTCATTCGTGAATAAAAGTATTACCTCGTTTCCATGCCGCTGAATAATGATCCCCTTATACCTTCTCAGGCTCGTGGGGTGGGCGACCAAGCCCCCGAGTTGGACTGTGTTGGAAGACCGGGCTCAATTGCCCCGCTATATTGGGCCCAGACCTAGCTCCTCCTTTGACCCTCCTGACTACTCCCCTTGGCTACCCTCATTCCTCTGGTTGGGTCGAGCCCCAAGCCCCCAGTGGTGACCACCTCGTCCCTTGGCACGGCTCAGTCTCTAGTTGTGACTACTGCGCCTTTTAACCCCTCTCTCTCTGGGGGTTCTCAACGCTGTCCTCGCCACAGCTGCACTCGCTCGATTCCTTCCCGTATTGATGCGTATCAAGCTTTGTTTGGTCCCGCTTCGTGGGCCAAATACTTTGATCTCCTTCCTCTTGATTCTATGGCTCCTGACGATTTCTCCCTCCATAGGTACCTTGTTGATTCCTCAGATGCCTCTGTTACCTTCAACCCCACCCATCTCGGTACACGTGTCGTTGCTGCTCCTTCACCAGATGCAGCCTCCCACTTGGCCGCCTTATCCTGCCTTGGGGAGACCCCTGTTCGGGTCTCCAAGAACGCTCGGTTGAATGCCAGTGTTGGCACTATTCTCCTCCCACCCCATGTTGCAGCCGGTGTTCGGATCTCCAGGACTGCCACGAAGATATTCGGCATATCCTCGAAGCCCAGGGCCATTCTGTTCTCTAGGTAGACTCGTTTACCCGTCCCCCTCGTGGTCGTCGCCGTCAACCCCTTCGGGTTATGAAGATTACCATTGATGGTAGGACCCTTCCGCCCTCTATCATTCTTGCTGGTGCCAGGTGCTCCGTCCAGGAGTACATTCCCTCTCCTCGGCTCTGTAATAAGTGCTGGAGGTTTGAGCATGGAGCCCTCCGCTGCTCCGGTACTGTCTGTCTCTGTCCTGTGTGTGGGGCCAAAGCTCACTAAGTCGGAGTGGGCTTCTCTCCAGGTTCGCTGCCTCAATTGCAGTGAGGCCCACTCTACCTTCTCCCGCGCCTGTATACAATACAAGTTTGAGGCAGTCGTCCTCAACTTGAAGCACCAGGAACGTTTCTTTTCCTGGGGCAAGGCGCCAAGTTCGCCGTCTCCCATCTTATTCTATTGTCTCTTATGCTCGCGTGTTGTGCTCTTCCTCTCCTCGTCCTTCCCGCCTTCCTCAGTCTCACAACCGTTTCCAGGCCTTAGACCCAGACATGCCCACCGCCGCCTTCTCTGTTCCTCTTGAGTTCTGTCCCGAGGGGTCCCCCTCATGGCTCTCTGTCTAGAGTTCCCCTTCTTTCTACCCAGTCTGTCATGTCTCCTGTGTCTTCTTCCTTATTCCTCCGATCCTCCTTCCCATCCTTCTCTTCCATCTCTTAGCTCTCCACGCCGCCTGTCAGTGCAGGCTGATGTCCATCGCTCTCCTAACGGCCGTCGTGTTTGCTCTTGTTCTGCTTCTCCTGTTGAGACGCTTGAATCTGTTGCCCAGTACATTGTTGCTGGGACGCCTATCTCTTTGAGTCAGAAGCGAAAGCCTGGCCCCTCTCCTTCCTCCTCCCCAGCGGGTAAGAAGGCTTTGCTTTCTTCCTTGCCCCCTACCTCTGACACACTCGCTCCATCCCCTCCCATTTCGGTGGTTGCATCCCCTGGTTCCTGCTTCGGAGGTTTCTATGGTCCCCGCTTGATAGGTAATTTAAACAAGATTAATAGACACCATACAGCAGATTGACAGCACATATAAGAAGACAGCAATGATCACAATGATAAAGATGTTCAGATTGGGTACATAAAGGTTGGGAGATTGGGTAGCAAGATACAGTGCAATTTTAAAGCAAAAGGTAAAAAACTATGAAGATGAAATTAAGTACTTTTTAGTATTGTTTTTGAATGACGCAAAAGTTGGACAGCTTTACAATTCAATAGGGAGTGAGTTCCATAGACTGGGTCCCTTTATTTGCATAGAGTGTTTACACAGATTAAATTTGACTCTAGGGATATCAAAGAGATATTTATTTCTGGTGTGGTGATAATGGGTCCTATTACATCTGTCCAGGGAGAGTTTCAGAGCAGGATTTGCATTTAAGAACAGGGTTTTGTAAATGTAGTTGACACAAGAGAATTTGTCGAGTGAGATTATGTTTAGCATGTTTAGGGAGTTAAACAAGGGGGCTGAGTGTTGTCTGAAAGCAGAATTTGTTATTATTCTGATAGCAGATTTTTGCTGGGTGATGATGGACTTGAGGTGGTTTGCAGTGGTTGAACCCCATGCACAGATACCATAATTAAGATAGGGATAGATTAGTGCATAATATAGAGAGAGATGAGAGCAGAGTTAGGTACATAATATCTGATTTTATTTATACATAAATAACGTTTATGTTATACCTGTATTGTTATACATTTATAACATAAGGTACATAATATCTGATAATATTTATAGTGGCATTCTCTTCCAATATACTATTTCCACCTTAGTATATTGGAAATGTGTGTGTGTGTGTGTGTACTCACCTAGTTGTGTGTGTGTACTCACCTAGTTGTGCTTGCGGGGGTTGAGCTCTGGCTCTTTGGTCCCGCCTCTCAACCGTCAATCAACAGGTGTACAGGTTCCTGAGCCTATTGGGCTCTATCATATCTACACTTGAAACTGTGTATGGAGTCAGCCTCCACCACATCACTGCCTAATGCATTCCATTTGTCAACCACTCTGACACTAAAAAAGTTCTTTCTAATATCTCTGTGGCTCATTTGGGCACTCAGTTTCCACCTGTGTCCCCTAGTGCGTGTGCCCCTTGTGTTAAATAGCCTATCTTTATCAACCCTGTCGATTCCCTTGAGAATCTTGAATGTGGTGATCATGTCCCCCCTAACTCTAGGCTAGGCAAGACTAGGATAGACTGTGTGTGTGTGTAATTACCTAAGTGTAGTTACAGGATGAGAGCTACGCTCGTGGTGTCCCGTCTTCCCAGCACTCTTTGTCATATAACGCTTTGAAACTACTGACGGTCTTGGCCTCCACCACCTTCTCACTTAACTTGTTCCAACCGTCTACCACTCTATTTGCGAAGGTGAATTTTCTTATATTTCTTCGGCATCTGTGTTTAGCTAGTTTAAATCTATGACCTCTTGTTCTTGAAATTCCAGGTCTCAGGAAGTCTTCCCTGTCAATTTTATCAATTCCTGTTACTATTTTGTATGTAGTGATCATATCACCTCTTTTTCTTCTGTCTTCTAGTTTTGGCATATTTAATGCTTCTAACCTCTCCTCGTAGCTCTTGCCCTTCAGTTCTGGGAGCCACTTAGTAGCATGTCTTTGCACCTTTTCCAGTTTGTTGATGTGCTTCTTAAGATATGGGCACCACACAACAGCTGCATATTCTAGCTTTGGCCTAACAAAAGTCATGAACAATTTCTTTAGTATATCGCCATCCATGTATTTAAATGCAATTCTGAAGTTAGAAAGCATAGCATAGGCTCCTTGCACAATATTCTTTATGTGGTCCTCAGGTGATAGTTTTCTATCTAGAACCACCCCTAGATCTCTTTCTTTATCAGAATTCTTTAAAGATTTCTCACATAATATATAGGTTGTGTGGGGTCTATGTTCTCCTATTCCACATTCCATAACATGACATTTATTAACATTAAATTCCATTTGCCAAGTGGTGCTCCATATACTTATTTTGTCCAGGTCTTCTTGAAGGGCATGACAGTCATCTAAATTTCTTATCCTTCCTATTATCTTAGCATCATCAGCAAACATGTTCATATAATTCTGTATACCAACTGGTAGATCATTTATGTACACAATAAACATCACTGGTGCAAGAACTGAACCCTGTGGTACTCCACTTGTGACATTTCTCCATTCCGATACATTGCCTCTGATTACTGCCCTCATTTTTCTATCAGTCAGAAAATTTTTCATCCATGATAGAAGCTTACCTGTCACCCCTCCAATATTTTCCAGTTTCCAGAACAACCTCTTATGTGGAACTCTGTCGAAAGCCTTTTTTAGGTCCAGATAGATGCAGTCAACCCAACCATCTCTTTCCTGTAATATCTCTGTGGCTCGATCATAGAAACTGAGTAAATTCGATACACAGGATCTTCCAGATCGAAAACCATACTGTCTGTCTGATATTATATCATTTCTCTCTAGGTGTTCTACCCATTTAGTTTTGATTAGTTTTTCCAATACTTTCACTATTACACTTGTCAATGATACAGGTCTATAATTGAGGGGGTCTTC